AATAAATGGGAAGGAAGAAGCAGATGATGAGGTAAATAAAACACAATGGTTTTAACAAATTATCAAAAACGTTCCACATAAAAGAACTTAGATATATGTTCAAAGGTTTTACAATGCAAACCAAGGAAATATTAATCACATTAGTGTCTTCCGTTTATTTTTACTAAGTATATATATTATACTTAGATGAATATTATATAACCTACTTGTTTAAAACCCTCGGCGTATGAGTCAACTTGCAATTTGCTATTACTATTGTAGTAGAGTTTATAGGGAAACATTATATTTAAGCAATTATATAAACAAGGCAAAAACCTTAGCAACAACCGTTTATATTACACAATTCCACTACATTTCTAGATGCTAATATAGTCCCGCGCCGAACACGATATCTTTAATGCATGTGCATTAGGTATACGTCACATTTGTGCTATTTGTTGCATCCGGTTCGGATATGTAACTCAATTCTTGGTCCCCAGGTCAAATATTTATCTATTATTTATATATCAAATACATACACAAATACATCACAGTACAAAAATATATTTTATGGAAGAGTTGTCTGTAAAATAGTATTCAAGTGAGTAACTTGAATACTGTTTTACAGACATAATTTACATCGAGAGACATAATTTGTATAAGTTGTATGGGAATATTAACACAACCACCACCAATAAAAAAATATCAATACAATATTATTTTGTGACGTCCATACTACTTGTCCATGGCGAGGTATAAGTACCCGTTTATATCAAATGGGTTGTCCCTTTTGTTAATGTCATTCATTTTTGTATTTTTTTACTCTTCCATTTTACTTTTGTATTTTCATACTCCTTCTGAAACTTCAGTTACTCATATAAGAAGACAACTTAGTACAATTATTATACAATATCTAATCATAGTTACACATTTATGGCTATGCATTCATCATTAAATTTGATAAAAATGTATAATACATAACGATATTATGACGCGACTTTTTATATTGTATAGTTAATGATACATACACGTGCCGTCTGGAATATAAAGGCCACCTTTGTAAATAAGTAGTCAATCGTATCTATGTCTACTTATGATAATAATAGCTGAATTTGAGCACTTATAGTATGATCTAAACACGAGCAAGTTGGAAAATAATCTTTCGGAAACATCAAATCGTATACTAGGGTAGTGATAGTGTAAGATAAATCCTTCCTTTATTAGTAGAAGAGATACGAGACGCTATTATGGATTGTAATGGTGATAATGATTAAAGTAAAAATAGTACTCGATAGTAAATATATAATATTAAAATATCCAGGGCTTACAGACGAACTATATCCATTAAACGATCATGTTATCAAGAGGAGACTTTAGGTCATGAGCAATATGATAATGTGTAAATTCTTGTCGCAGTAACGATTTACTGGAAATATGCTAAAATGTTTGATACTATCAGTTATTTGACTGAGACAAAGTACTAAAGTATTTACATACGTATGACTATACAAAGTAGTCTGTTTAATTATGCCTCCACTGCATTGATGATCTTACGCGCTCTGCTCCATGTTCTTACGCGAGATAATGGAAGTGAAATTATATGGACTAAAGTTTGAATGGCAACGCGTAAGGAGTCGATATCACGCTCGCCACAGTACGGTCGAAATTTAGATTCACTTGTGATGCAGGCCACTTTCTACCAGATATACCAACAGTGGTATGCCATTTTGGTCGTATAAGCAAAGGATAAGAGTATTGACACAAGCTGACAGTCGTAGAATTAGAATTAATAAATGCGCATGCCACTGTGCATTATTATATTTAATTGGAAATTTCATATAGTCTTTTTATTTAGGAATTAGGAAAAGAGATAGGTACAGTAATATATCTACCTACATCTAAATCTTTGTATGAAAATAGAAAAGTGCCTGCTAATTGGACAACAATTAATTGATGTTATGATCATTGTAAATGATGAATTTCGGAGGGAAGAAGTAACTGGAGCAACTGCCTTCTGTGAACGCTGATTTTCATGCGATAAACTAGTAAGGTACACGCCAAAAAAGCCTATATTTTCCTGAGCATATATAAAAAACAAGATTGCAATTATGAAGTCGTCCATTGAGTTCCAGATTAATTATTTTATTTTGCATAAAATGATTATCTGTTCGAAACTTTATAAATTCTATATATGTATATTCAAACTACCGGCTATAGGGTTGGATGTAGGTCATAAAAAGAAAAAAAAGGTACAGTGCCATAGGACACATATAGAGATGTACATAAAGAGCTTAGAAAAATAGGTGTTTAATACAACATTATTATTTTTATATTAAAATAAACTATTTAAGTAGGCATCAATCATTTATGTACAAAAAATTGTTATAGACGTTAAAGCTATATAATTGTAAATAAAATAAAATCGGACGTAAGAATTCAATAGTCTTCGGCAATTTTCAAAAATAACAGATTACAACTCACGACCTCTTAATTAAACAAGATTGTAAAATACTAAGCCAGGAATAATGCTCTTATAAAATAAAATAAAAACTTACTTTATGGAAAAATCGTAAATTTCTATTTTAATTGGACATCTACATATACATATATGTTCAAAGGTAGAGGACATGAAGCCATTACCAATGCTACTATATGTACTTACTAAAAATAAAGCCTACAGTAAAGCAATTGGATAATGTAAACACGGTTTTCTTACTGCCGCTGGTACCCTACGTACCCTACATGTGATAAGGAATATCGTAAACAAATGATTGTAACAATTTGTTCGATAACACCATAATTACGTATTGAGATTAATTTACCGAGATTATTTAAAAACTATACAAACACCAAGGTATACACACCAGTAGGAGATATGGCTTAAGAAATGTACACCCTCACATGTTATTTGTTAATAACATCGATTATCTAATGTTCGTTTTAATTAGCACACGGATTGGTAGGCTTTAGATTTAGTAATAATATATCGCAATCGTAATAAAAAATAAATACTCGATTAGTGAGTAATATACAAACATTATCATTATGAAATAACACATGAGAGTATGTATTTTTTGTGTCGTATCTTAGACAATATGTAAGTTATGCATATGGAATGTTAACATGGCCAGTCCATCCTTATGAAAGCTTTTGAACCGCGAAAGGACAGGATCGGACAGTTGCTATCTAAGCAACATTTAAGATATTTTGTTCTATAATTAGGTATTACACAACTATAATTTAAGAATAATAATAATAATAAACTGTGGGCTTAAACCCCCACAATAATAATAGTCTGAGGACAATTCACACAGCGCCATCTACACCCAAGTTAAGCTAGCTAAAGTTTGTGTTATGAGTACTAGATAACTGATACAAATACATAGATATTTTTTTTCGTAAATACATACATATTATACATAGAAAACACCCAGACCGATACAAACAATCATACTCATGAATATAAATGTTTGTGCCGTGCGAGGAATCGAACCCGCGACCATCGGACGTAAAGCGGCGTGCTAAACCACTAGACCACCGAGGTCGTCAAAATACACACAAATATAATTTAAGAATGATTAAATAGTTTTCCTCATTAAGTAATTTTCGAAGTGTGCCTAGTGATTCTTTACCACAATTTAAACCCCCAGTGCGACATTATAAAACCTTATGTCAATTTATATTTTATGCCGCGAAATGCCATGAGTTTTGAGATTTCAACAGCATCAGTTAGAAATATGTAATAAAGTCAAAATATTACACATATCTTCATTTATACAAACTGCCGAACTTCGTTCCTCGGGGAAAGTTATTCAGTTTCATCAGTTTTAGTGTCCAAATTCCTTACTTAATTTGGATACTCGTTCTTAATAAGAAATCGTACTAAGAAAAATCTAAATGTATCATATATGGTTTGTTACTTATTACAATTGACTGAGGCTTATTGTCTGACTGATCCTTCAAAGCACAGTCTAAACCGCTGTGGTTAGAGGGTTGAATATATTTTCCTTTTATGACGCAACCTCCCATTATAAAAGGATTACAGGCACAAACAGACTACGTATATTACAGTTAATAATCCTATATAAAGGTAGTTTTATGTCAAATTGTTATTAAACGTTATTTTTACAATTATAAATTATTACATCAGAAATTTATGTTAAAAGATAATAGTTAGTGGAAATGTTTTCATAATGCTGGTAATTCGTTGAATCACCAGGCTGATCTGTTGAAAGTGCCAACTCTTGGATCCCAGTGCAGTCTAGTAGTCCTCTACCAGGCACATCGAAAGGTTGTTAACGAATTTAAGGCCGTTGGAACCCCATGGACTCCGAACTACACAAATATATATTCAAAGTTAATGAATCTGTACCTAGTCGATTTTGAATTGTCTCCTCTGCTGCCGATCCATTTTTCCACTTCTTACCGGAATATGCGACAGAGCTAGCACATTGACATAAATGGGTTGACATCTCAAACTAGCACTCGACCCATCTTACAAGGAACAAGTGACATACCATCTGGTCTCCTGCTACCGTCACAAACGACACCAAGCTTTAGGATAGCTGATAAGCTGACAGAGGCAAAATAATAACGGACATAGTGTTTTAGTATGATTGATAAATAAATTCTTTATATAAGATACATTAAGTGAGAGTTATACATTATTGAAATAACAAAAGTTTTGATATAGTATTATAATAGAGTGAAAAAACAATGTAATAGACTAATCAATTGTATTATAACATTCTAAATTATAACGACTCAACCTGACAGAGTTACAAAATTTTAACTCGCGTTTCTAAGTTAGACATCAGAAGAAATAGGTACTATTAGTTTGTTAATTACACAAAATAATACATTACTGTGTTTATGTTGTTTTAGATCTTACTTCTTACTAATTTTAAAAAAGCGAATTTTTGTGAATTTGGATGGATGTTCGTTACTCTTTCACGCAAGCACTACTGTACAGATTTGGATGAAACTTTACAGTAATATAAGTTATACATCAGAATAACAAATAGACAATAATTTAAAAATATATTATGTAAATTGGGCGAAATATAGAGTATCAAGTGTGATGCAGACAAAGTCTGCGTAACTTCGTCTGCATCAACGTCAACGTGTTAATTCATGTTATTTTCTACGTTTTAATGTATAATATCAAATGAGCTTCGCATTAGTGTATTAAGATGTATTAATCCTCATCACTTAAACGGAACCAATTATGGTTCCGTTTAATGCTAAGAAAACACTCCTTTATCTTGATTGGAGCATTGAACTTGACTCTGTCGAGTGTGTCGTCATCGCAATGCAGACTTGTTACTATGCAATGCTGTAGTTACCAGTGCGAGCATCTTCTTTCTATAAGGACAGAGAAGGACATAGACCACATTTTATTTAGGTTAGACAACGGTAAATCGCAGGATAAATAAGCATAAATAATACATTATTGTATTACACATGAAATGGTAAATAATCAGGTTTCCTTAACGGATTGACTTTTTATTTAGCCTTGCTCTCCTCATCTTAAACGTTCAAATTTCTTCCCCTTTTCGTCTAATAGGACATTTATAGGAATTTTCCAATTAGTGAAATTTGCTCCTATAGCCAATTGTGATACCCTGCAAATTGTTGGTTAAGACTAACACATTTAATAAAAATGAGCAGAGCAATTACGACATTAATTTCAATGTTCCACCACTCAATCACAAAGCTTCGCAGTAACATAGAAATATTATAGAGTATATAGGTACTATATTTAAACCACAGAGTAAAAATCTCAACACTTACTTGATGGTAAGTGATTACCGTCGCTTATTGGGCCACAATGGCAAAACACACATCAACTTATGTGTTGCCATTCCAGAGGACTGATATGTCTTGCCTCCGTACCCTTTAAGGGGGTCTTCCTATGTGACGGCCTGTTTTTTAGGGATATTTTAGGATTTTTTTTCTACGACCAGTAAATATTTAGAGCTTCAAGTTTTTTATCATTTATTAACACATATTTGGACAGTATAAATATAAAATTTCAGCTAAAAATATTCAGTCAAACTAGAGTTACAGCGCTCTGAACACCCCCGCCTCGAAAAAAAGAGCTCCCACTTCCTCCACGATTCCGGCTGATCGGCTTATCTGAAAAAAAAAAAACGGCGTTTTAATTTGTAGGCTTAAAAGCACGGAATGACCTATAATCAAATGAATATAAAAAAAATTGGATTTTTGATAGACATTTGAAATAAAAGTTGCAAATTAGGCGTTTTTTTTTTTGTTTATTTGCTATAAAAAAATCGAAGTTTTGAAAATTTTCGATTGATAATAGTTCATTCCATGCGTTTACATATATTGAGTGTGCCCTGTAAATTTCAAGTAATTCGGTCCAGCCGTTTCTGAGATACAATGGAGGAAAGTTTGAAAAACACAGTTTTGAGAAAAACGCGTTTAAAGTTTCAAGTCCGTTAAAAACTATTAAAATATCAACTTACTCTCAATCGGCGATGCCTGGTCCATAGAGTATTCCTTCCTCTTCCTCGTGAAACTCTTTTAAAGCAGATTGTTCAGCTCTTGAGTCAATCCTGGCTTGTTTAACGACATCACTTACGCGCCGCTCAGAGCGTAAGATTCGCTTTTCATCCCGTTTCTCAACATACGCTTGGGCTTCACGACCAACAGGGCATCCCATAATCGACATAACTTTTAAAATACCTTGAAAACCTTCATTAAAGATAATAACTGCTAAGTAGCTAGCAATTTCAACAACTTTGGGACCAGAATGAAGATGTTTAGGAGCGAAAGTCCAAATCAAAGAATTCAAAGATTCGTTATTGTTTTGTGTCTCTGCTCCTAAACAACGAATTAATAATTCGTCTTTCGATAAATCTTCGAAAACCGGTTTGATAGCTTCTTGGACTTGCGGAATTAGAGGTGGTTTATCGTGATGAAATTGGTCCAGTTCATTATTAGCTTCAGCCTTACGCCATTTACACCAACTGTCTTCGCCTTCTGGACAAAATTGATGCTGAGGGTTTTCATCAGAAGAACATTTGTGATAGTACGTTGCCCAAACTTCCTTTCTCATATCTTCAAGCGAATCTGGATGGCGTCGCATTGCTAATCCGTAGAATTTTGTAATTTCTTGGATAACTTTATCAGTAAGTTTACCTGCTCCTTTTCCTCCTATTCCTTTATTGGTTTTATCCTTTTTAAGTCTGTAGAAACGTGTCTAAACTTGTATAAACAAATATATTAATAAAAGGGAGGCCAGGTATAAAGCCGACGGTACACAATAGGCCCGGTCTCTAACTGCCAACTCACCGCTCCGAACCGCTCTTTCTTTTACCTGCTGTATCTTTAAAACGACTTCGAATTTTCTAAAATCGCTTTACTACCGTATTCTAGACATGTTAAGGGAGCAATTTATGAAAAAAAAAATCGATTTTTTCAACCCATCACATAGGAAGACCCCCTTAATTTCACTACCTTTTCTAAGCCTTAAAGACATCCTCCAAAGTAAGGTATTTGGCAACTGAATTAGATGAGGTACAAATATTCACGCAGTTAACTGTACATATAACCTACTTAGGTAAAAATTCATGCAAAATAAGAAGAAAAATGTTACAGTAAAAAGAACTGACAAATAATTAGTATGCAAGTAAATTTAAGATATAAAACGAAAATTAAAAACATATATTTCATAATTCGGATTAAAAATGTAGTTCACTGTCTCTAATAGACACAAGGTCGATGTTTACGTATGTTTAATTAACTTTTTTAGATCATGCAACGGGTTTGGATACGATTTTCATTATTAGTTAACTAATTCTTAGGAAAGGTTTATGTGCATATGATTATACGATCTCCATCACGTAGAAGGTGCGAAGTAACGGCTCGAGCTAGTTCAAGACAGTTTAATTATAAAACATTATAAAAATGTTAGTATTCCAAGGAATTTCTTGATTTATAACAGTAAGCACTACACTTGTACACTATTACAAGTAACACGTGTAATAGTGTACAAACAGTCGCACAGAACATTTGTCGTTTGACGTCAAAGATAATAAATATATGTTTGTTACATGACTGCGTAAGAAATGAGTGAATTCAAATGTTTGAATATATACCTGTGAATTTATTTAGCCACGCATAAAGCGACCAATCGACGGAGGACGAGATTGTCAGTAATAGGAGCCCTTATACCAATATCATGTCGAACTTTACGCTGCTTCCTTTGGAAACCATGCTGGTTAATTCCTGGTTCGTCTAATTCGTATCGTTGGGCTAACTGATCTGACTTTATCTTCTATCATCGTGCACTGGTACACCATTCGATCATTATCCACAAAAAAATACTACGACTAATCCTAGCGACAAAGAATTATAAACTTGGGGCGTTATCTAAGTACGGCGGTCAAAAATCATAAAAATCTGGATTTATAAGGCTAAGACAGATGTAGACAAGATATAATTTTCTTGTTTGTAACTAAAGAAATATTTCATGTATGCATTGCTACTTGTACAGGCAGACAAGGAAGTATATATATATAAGTAGTTTATTTAAAAATAATATAGATTCAAAGTTAATTTAAAAACATCAAATCCAGATCGGTTTGTCAGCTCTTGTAAAACTACGTCATATCTTGACATCTAATAATAATAGGCATACTAACACTTTTTACCAAGTAGGCAGATAATAAACAAAATATTGTTTTAGGTGGCAGTTACTCCGGGAGGACATATAAAATTTTATAACCTATGTAAACAAATATTAATAGCAAAATAACATTTTGATAAACCAGATAAAATTTGAAGCAAGTCAAAAAGCTTGTTGGCTATTACTATATAATGTTAGAATATACAAAATTTGTATATTTGTGCTGTTAAACTTCGAGGGAAGGTGGGGGTGAGGGTTGAAATTAAAATAACCGTACACAACACCACAATTATGAAGCTATCATATAACGTCCTATGTCTGTAGTATCCATAATACAAAGACATTATATACCTCCGTACTTACCCTGTAATTTCCCTGTTGACATATATTGGATAAGGAGTGTACACGAAAAGTTGCTACCAGTACTAAAAGTGTATACAAAATGAGCTAACATTTTAAGTAAAGATATTAAAAATAAACATAGTACATTATAGTTTTAGTACTGTTTATACTTACTCAACTGCCTTACATATTCAAAACTACTACCTAGGTAGGTAGATGTGACGGTAGGTAGGTACCTACCGTCATATTTAAATTATTAATTTGAAAGACACAATTACCATTACTACCTACAATTTGCAGGTAACGTATTTATTTTATTCATTTCCATATTATCGTTGATGTTTAAAGTTGCTCAGTTAAAATATAGCTATGGATATAAAAGATCTTAAAGATTTATCTTATTCTTGTAAACAAACTTTGGGAGTATTTACACCATTTTCTACTGCAAACGTAAGTTTTCCTTTCTTAGCTTACTGAATATTATCATTATTAAATGACTATTATGAAGATGCCACATTAATAGATAATTTGAAATTGTAATACTACTTAATACCTAATGAATTTAGTATTAGCTGATATAATATTATATTCATTAGGTACTTGAAGTTGACACGACTTAGTTCATTTGACCGGGTTATGCTTTACAATAGCTGAGTAGGATAGAAAATGTAGCGTGTGTTCGTTACATGGGTTTATATTCCAGTTTTAATGACAAATTATTATTTGAATCCGTAACGAAGTGAAATGGTGAATATAAAACAAACTCATTGTTCAAAAATTTATAATAGGCTATATTTGGAAATATTATTATTACTAATGCTACAAACATTTATATACTTATATAAATTAATACACATTAGTATATATTTTATATTTATATTCGAGATTATCAATAAAACTGACACAATTTCTGCAGATATTTAAAAAAGTAATTTAATGAGTATTCTTATCACATAGTGTCTGTCTAACTGCATTAAGTTACATGAAGAATATCTATATTTTATAATGTCAAGGCTGTATATTGATTTCGTGATTGTCCAGTGAGTGATATTGCGTTTCGTACCAGTTTATGTTAATTAAATATTTTTATCAATTTCAGAACAAAGATTTGTCAGTATCTTCAATTCAAAATAAACCCGGTGAAGACCTAGCAGGTAATTAGGGTCCATTTAATTTCTTACTTATACTAAGTACTTTATAAAATAAACAAATAGTTATTTATAAATCTCATTTCTCTTTAGTGAATCATCAGATTACGTTATTGGTAGTTGAATAGGCAAGATCATATTTCATTCTGTGATTATTAAACTATCATCAAATTACTGAAACATACTCTATATTAAAGATATGCACTATATATTATAATTATAATCAAACTAAAACTTTTTGTTTTGTGGTACTGTATAGTTGGCCCAAAATGTACCATGTACGTGGTACTTACGATTTCTGAGGAAAGGATGTAGATAAGTGAAGTTGGATAGACCTCAGTACCGTAGTAATGTTTAACTTTTTAAACCAAAATACAGCTATGCAAGCACATCTGCTAAGCAGCAGATGTGCTTGCATAGTGAGGTGACACATACAACAGGTGAAACATATTGCCGTGCAGATGAGAAATCTAGATTGAATCTAAATTGAGAAATTATGATCAGGTATTATCTCAGCCATGACTATTTATTAATGTTATTTATCATTACGCTACCCAAGGTTGTACAAAATTATTTTTTGAATGAAGGTTATTAACATTATATTATAACATTAATCCTGAGTTGCTGCATATATAATAGTTAATTGAATGCAGCCATTGCGTTATATCTATACAGATTGTTAATTTTTTTTTAAATACAATGATAAATGCTATATCAATGGGTTTTACTTTGAAGATGCAATGCACGCGGTCAAATTGGACCCAGCTGTATTAGATGTACAGGTTGCCAACAACCCGATCAACAACAATAAAGTTACAAAAAGCAACCAAGAAAGAAAAGGTATGAGCACTTGTTATGGTTTTATTTATTTGGAAATCTTCATCTATTTTAGAGTATATAGTATTTAATGTCTAAGTAGCCTTCCAAGAAGCTATTATACGCAATTATATCCAAATATATAAAGGGCGCGTGGATACCCACGTAATATCTTGAGAAGGAATAACGTAATGCGATACAACCCTATAGGAGCTAGTCTCATGCTATCCCAAACTATTGATTTCCGCTTATCATAGCGTTTTTTAAAAGTATGTCAATGGGTTTTTGTTCGCTAAAAATTTCACACACTCTACTGTTTCCTTCAACATGTTAAATCTTTGGAAGATTTCACTATATACGAAAAAGAAATGTAATTTTACAAAAAATGTAACTTATTACCTTTGTATATTCAGATATCTATCAAGACAGATAGATAAAATTTTTATTTATGTTAAAGAACACACACACACAAGATACAAGGTAATATAAAGAAATAGGTACAGAGTAATTATATATATTGGTCAGTTAACAATATGCAATATAGATACAATCAACGTATTATCATCATATATGTACTATAATCAATATAGATACAATTTAGGTATTTATGTATTTAGACTCTTAAAGATATTAAAATTCATTTCCCAATACCTAATATTGGGCTAGAAGTATAATATTTGAAAACGATCATATCTAAAATTGATAGTATTTATAGGTAGTTTCTGAATGTATGTTACAGAACGAAGAAGAAGAATCATGTTACAGAATGAATACACGCACAGAAAAACGCGTTCAGGAGTCACTTTTTGATACGGAGAAATAATAATTTTTAATTTTGTATTTCAGCATTGGCACAATGTGCTCCTGCTCCGTTGACTTTCGAAAGAATGATGCTGATGCAAAAAACAGCTCTATTGTCCCTAACACCATACCAGTTTGAACTGCTGATGAAATTTACGGATACCTTAAGGCAACAGAGACGAAGTATTCAAAGATGTTTGGTGAGAAAACAAAATAATTAATTACATTACTTTATTTAAAGTTTATTAGCATTCCTTGTATTTTACGGCATCGATGGTCTAGAAGTTTAGCACACAACCTTACTTCCGATGATGCGGGTTGGATTCCTCGCACAATAAAAATATTAGTAATCATGAATATGATTATTTGTGTTTTCTATGTAGATTACGTATATATTTACAAAAAAATATTTAAGTATTTCTATAAATTCCCAAGCTAAGCAGAGACTCTATTAACAAACACTGCTTAGCTTGACACTGTGTAAATTGACCAGAACTATTTTATTAGTTATACTTATGGTATAGGTAGCAAAGTACTTACTACCTACCTATATAAACTTAATATAGTTAGAATATATAGTTTATTAAAAGGTGTAAGCTCGTTAGAGCAAGTATAATATCAGTCTTTATAACGTTATTTCCTATTTAAGTTATGTGACTAATCAGGACACACTGTATGTCACTTCTTCTCTTGACATAATATTATATAAGAAAGAAATACTTATTTTACTTACTTCTGAAGTTGAACGAAAACTTCTATATATACAGACTTTTAATCTAAGCGAGAATATTTTAACTTCAAGAAACTTTCTTTTTTATTCACGGCCTGTAATATAATATAATATTCAGGCGTCTAATATGAAAGTGAAGACGAAGTTGTTACTTTAGAGATGCGAGAAAATTAGTTTTATCAAATATGCTCGTTCTTGTGAAAATTGGCAGTCCTATTTTATGCTTTCAAAGTGGAAAGTGTTATTTAGTATTCACAATTAAATTATCACGATATTAAGTATAGAGCAGATCTTATGTTCACAATTAAGGGTTATGGCTCGTTCATTGCAAATAAATCCAAATCATACGATAGATTGTACATTATTATTGGCAATAATTATTATATTAGTAAGTTCCGTAGGCCAATGAACCTTATAACTATTATCAATCCCGCCAAACAACCAAAAAACTTCCCAAGGGTACATTTAATCTATGTTTCGCATTTTTTTTGTAATAAAATATAGCCCATGTTATTACTAGCGAGCCTATGAATTTTGCAATTAGTTCAATATTTTTTCAGATTTATCAAGAAAAAGAAAATATAAAATATTGGTCCTTAATTATTCCTGATTATTGTGCATTAGTGGTATTAGTAGGTAACAGTAGAATTTTGAAATCAGTTTTTTAATTTTAGTAATTGTATATAATTTATTACAATATTTTCTGTATATAGGAGTGCGCGTTTTGCAAAAATAATGGAGAAGCAGTCTCGTGGTATTCAATGCACATTTTGAAGGATAACAGAGGACGCGTCCGCTGTCCGATTTTACGAAACTATACGTGTCCGTTGTGTGGTGCCACTGGCCAGCGAGCACACACTATCAAGTATTGTCCTGAAAATTTTAAAAAAGGTAAACAGTTATTAAACAACTATATTATTTATTAGTTCTTATTTAAAATACATATATGTGTTTCTATATTCTTCTATGTACGTGTTCGCACATACAGAGAGATAACAGATTTCGCCATAATATTAAATTCAAGATAGAAAGTCATACCGATCTCGACAAAGTGCCGAAGTCAAAATCTTTTAAATTCGCTAATGTTTATTCTGTAAAATTAAGCAATAGAAGTTTGAATTTCCACATTTCATTCCTTTCATATATACAGCAGTTTAGTAAAGTACGCCGTTACGTTGTACTAGTTGTCTTAACAGAGCCAATCAACCTTTTACGTTAACTGTCAATTTACATAGATATTTTTATTGTTGCAGATCAATACGATGACGATCTCTTTTGCTGGCCCAGTAATTGAAATATAAAACAATCTGTATGTCTAATATATGTGATATTCGTTAAGAAATATTAAGAAAGTAAACCGAGACTAATTTATTTATAAACCCCAAAGCAGCCTTGACTTAAAACTATTTAAGAAGCAACATTGTTTTATGTAAATGATTTATTCAATTGTACGCGAGTCTAACAATAAAATATAATTGAAAATACTACCAGTAGGTACTTCAGAAACATGTGCACTGGCGTAGTCTGATTTGACGCTCTAATGGTAAAAGTTTTCGAATTAACTTTGAAACATGAATGACTTTTTTTTTGTGGTTCATAATGAAATGGTGCTCCCGCCTGCGCTAACGGTTTACGCTGGCGTGGCACCAGTGGAGGATGATAAGATGAGCATGAGATCAGGTCGGTTAGCCCATCGTGACAAATTTATCAGGAGTTTAACACGATGGTTTCCAGAAGGAACCGCGTGGAGGTCGACCTGAATTGGTCCATTGCTAGCAGTGGGGTTATCAATCCACATTACTAACAATCCCCTTCCCCCCATATGAATGACTTAGTATGAGTCTGTTAGTCTGACCACATAGGAAATTTCATGAAGACTAAAACCTAGCTTGGTGGTCTGAGTATTAATGATAGGTTAGTGATTTGCTCCATTATATATTATTATTATTATAAGGGCATCTCTCTGGTCGACCATTGAAGAATGGGAGCGGAGAATTGTCTGTGAATAATCAGGTTGTAGTTAACGTGATGTCGGCAATGTAATTGTTGAAGGCCTACTTGAGAATTGCAGACTGAGAGTCACCTTTTTCAGAGGAACGACTTTAAGGTGTAAGTGGTTTGAAGCGGATTTTATTCATAAGTAGTGGAAAAATTGGTGTCAAATTGACTCTCCACTAAATTTTTATATAGAATAGTATAGAATATTTATAATAGAAAGTTCGTGCGCACTAGTCTTATAAGGCTAAACTACAGGACCTCAACGCAGGGGCCGAAAGTATGTGCCGAGAGGTTTTCTGTGTAAAGTCCATATAAGTGGTATTTAAAGCCACACCCGAGGTAAAGGACGCTAAGACTCTGTATACGAAAGCTGGTATCGAGATACTACTTTGGGTTGAGCTCTGCAGTTCTCTGCGGCCCAACGTGCTGCGTTTGAAGGCGTTCTTACAGAGGCTGCGGTTATATAAAATGTATGTATGTGATGATAAAATGGGAATGGATGACTTTAGGTACTCGAGATACCGGTTTGTAAAAAGCTCACTAGTTACCTACTGCCTAAATAAAATCACTACAGTTAACGCTCCGTTAACATCACATGGTGTTCGTAAATAATTAATTCAATTGTATGTTGATCTAAAAATAAATCTTATACAAGCAAAAAAAATACATATTTCCTGTACCTACGTCATCAGCAAGCATATTTAATAATACGAAATATTGCTCGTTTCGGATTATTATATACCTATAAATATATTGTACCTAATGGTCTATTTATATACACATATAAACTTGGAAGCTACGATTAAGGTGAAAGAAACGTTTTTATAAATTACATTCAATAAACAATAATTTTCGTAAATAACACATATTTTTAAAATCTCTGAAGTGGCAAATAATCAAAACATACAATCCGCCTAATGGTAAGCGGTTTCGGTATATAGCTTATATGAACATTGTTTACTTGTTGAATGTATATTGTTGAATGTATGAAAATATATAGAAATATTTTAATTTCAAATTTTTTTTTGTAGTATTTTTAATACGCGCACATTGATTGAAGTAGAAAAAGTATAATCCAATAGTTCTATTGTTTATTCTTGAATTGTTTTAATGAGTCGATGTTATTTAAATGAAATATTTTAATTTTCTGTTATTTTATTTAGTAGTATTTTTATTTTAATACGCTATTTTGTAAAAAAGTCGTATTCTAATAATTTAATATATTTTCAGAGAATTTGCCCTAAATGGTTCGGATTGGCAAAAAATACCAATTTGTATGTAACATACGAATAATGACGAACCAATCGCCTGACAAAGTTTTTAGTGAAATTTCTAAAGACTTAACATATGTATCACAAATTTACATTTATCAAATTTCAAATTTATATTTCTGCGGGAACTGCTCTGTAATATAATTACTTATGTTTATATAATTTATAAACTGTACTAAATAAATAACTTCGTAGGTATACAAATGGAACGTGTTTCGACATATACAATATGGAGTAAATTGGATCAATTTTGTGATACTCAAACAAAACATGCCCAATAACCAAAATAACCAATCTGAAATTAGAACTGTGGCATGCGTAAGCTGAATTGATGATATATATACCTACCATATACCCAATACACAAGTCTACGTTTCTTTTTATGAAGTAAATAATTTTGTTATTCATTAATCCAGAGGTGAGGTTCAAATATCATCGTTACCGAATTGTAACATATCCTCTGAACATTACGATATTCTTGTTTTAGAACAGTTTTCAATATTAATTATAATACATGGGCTTAAATCTATATAAATTATTTAACGTCGACCCTAGATCGCCTATAGAGTCACGTTTCATTTTAGATTAGATTCCATTTGACCGTTATGCCTGCAAAGTCGATGTCAAATCTTTTACTATCATGACAATAAATGTTATTCTAATAATCCAATATGTAGTATATATAAAACGAGTAGACCTGGCTTGATGACTCATCATAACTCATTTTAAGCCCTTACAGCTGTTGTTTTCAAGATGTAAACAAGAAATAATGAAAGGTTTTTTCTAAATTACATTTCTAAAGAATTTTGATTCCTTAGAAATGTAATTTCGAAAAAACCAATGAAACAATGAAAGTTCAAAGTTTGTATGAGGAAACAAAAATACCAACAGAAGCAGTCATAATAAATAATCACACACGTATTCCATGACTTTTCCTGATAATGCTACAGTATCGTAAAAGTTGGTTTATGTTATGCTAAATTTAATACGGTAGCACTGCGGATATATAAGAGGTATTAAATTATATTTTTACCATCCAAACGGAAGTGCTTTTTTAAATACAAAACACACTGCAAGTAGCCTTCCAATCTTACACGGAAATTATTCATAACTCCCCGACACACTCTTGCCACCATTGCTTCAACGATGTTTTGCTTCAATTTTGCCAATGTTGTGGGTTTACTGTGATCATGTATAAGATTGAACATTATTGTTTATGTTGGTTTCTTACAACCCTGCCGCCTTCCCTATCTTGCCTGGATATCTTAAATAAGATATGTCAAATTTAACTCAATATTGGGGGTGTAGTGGTTTTGGTATAGACTCTTAAAACTAAAACTAAACTCTAGTATAAAGTGATTCTTGCCATACATAACGAGACTCATTCACTGTAATATTTGGTGAAATACATTGAAAACTACTGGGAGTCTGATCTTAATCACTCAGTTACATTAATATTTTTGTGCATACAAAACGTAGTGAAATTGGCGTATCGCAGTCCAGTCATGAGAGACTGTAATTATTCGGTAAAAAATACATACTTCGATACACCTATATAGATTTTTGATGCATATAAATTACCTCTGTTTTGCTCACCTACTGTGTACCTCACCTTATAAAAGTATACTTCTTAAAAGTTGGTAAAAACTTAGGAGTTATTTTGAGTGTGTTTAGGAAGCATATTGTCAAAATCAGGCTTTACTAGCCTGATATTTAACTTGAATTGCTAACATCAAACATATATATATTATATGGACTGGATTTAGCTTCGAACGTCGTATATCGTCATATTTTGATGACGGGACAAAGACGGCTGAAGACGGCTGGGGAGCAATTATCGTTATTATTTAATTAGAAGTCATAAATATGCTAAAAATAATACAAAATATAGTCACAGTAAAATTTTCCCTAAATCAAATTCTCTTTATAAAAATTACTAAAATGTCTTCCACCCTTGAACCGAAGTCCAAAATCTCGTACGTGTGTTATTATCTTGATGCATCGGCTGTAAGTAATACTACAGATTAAATAATATTCGTACACTGATCCATTGCGCACCTTGAGGCAGGTCGTGGATGGGAAATGAATAACGGTCCCTAAACTACAAACTAGAATGGATCACAGGTTAACAGTCAACCTCACTTGCACGCTATGACTTAAGAGTTTATGAATATTACTAAGGTGAAGAGAGGGGTTGTAGGTAGGTAATTAGATAAGTACTTACCTTCAATCCCTCTCTTCATCTCACCTTAATTATCCTGCCTCCTCAGATAGATATATACCATTCAATATAAAGTCAGATCATGTAGTCTGTCTTTTCTTATTAGCAGAGAACCTCATAGTACCAACATTACTAGGAATAAAGCCAATAAACAGTTATTCATAACTTCGTCCACTTTTTTGAGATAAAAGGTCCGCTTCGCTCCACTCTATACTTATTAATTTCATTAAGATTCATTCTGCTCGTGATAAAGTAACCAATAACCACTTGATAGATACTTTGGCATTATATAATTGGTATGGATATACCTACTGCTTTACTAACAATCCCCTTTACCTGTTATGCACATAATTTGTAATATTTATGTTACACACATATATATATATAGCTATTGCATAAATAAGTTTGTGTAAAGGGTGGCAATATAAGTACGGAACAACGAAATAAGTGGAGATATCCAATTTCAAAAAGCTTTGCCCTCTTTACATAGTATAAAATGAAATCGCGTTCGCTTATATTTTTTAAACTACGCATTTTAATGCAGTTTTTGGCATTGGATAGAGTTATTTAATAGGAAGGTTTAAATGTAGAATACATATAAACCTGTGCGAAGCCGCTAGGGCTAGTTAGTAGTGCAGTAGGGGGTTATAAATAAAATAATTGGAACAAAATCTGGTAATGTTAAATATTTGGTTCGAATTATTGTTGGTTGGTTTATTTGAATAATTATTGGTCAGATCAAACATTTACGATTGGCCAGACATAGAGCGTTCAAATTATCTACAAGAATACCACTTTTATTTGTGTTTTTTACTTAAGTACTATCACGAGTATTTATATAGTTAAACGGGTAAAATACGAATAATGGTATTCACCTCACTCTACGTTTCGACTAGGTGTAGTCACGTGGTCACGAGCTGACTGAAGTAACAGCGAATGTCAATGTTGACAGTTTGTTTAACTACCGTTATTAGAATATCCAACGAAAAATCGCGACACATAGTACTCATGGTATCTGTATACTATAATTAGATGTCTGGAAGTAATGCTAAACCTTAACTGCATCAATCAGAACATATACATTTATTCAGACAGTCAAGCTGCTCTACCAGCACTTTACTTATACGAAATCCGATCTTAACTTATTAGAAACTGTATCTTCCTACTGAATAAAGCCTGCTTTATTTAGTAGAAAGATACAGTTCTCAAGACCCTTCTCAGTATAATATTATTTCTGCTTCCTGAAGCAGAAATTATATTATACTGAGATGGGTCCCCGGGTACTCAAACATCGTAGGCAATGAAAATGCCGACCATCTGGCAAAGTTAGGGGCAAAAACCGCACAATATGGCCCCGAACCCTTCTGTGGTGTGCCTCGTTGCCTAAAACTGGGACATCTCAAATTAGTAACCAAACGAAAAGCACTGAATCGCTGGCAAGAAATGCCAGGATTGACACATTCAAAAGCCCTAATATCGGGCTACTCGAACAAATACTCCAATAGACTACTGCTATTGAGTAAAAACATGCATATGTTGCATGATAACTAGGGCCCTCACAGGACACTGCAAATTAAACAAGAATAGGGCTTACCTAGGCCTATGCACGACAAAAATCTGCAGATTCTGCCAAACTGAAGAGGAAACGCCACTACACATCCTATGTGTTGTAGCCCACTCATGCATAAACGATATCTCCTTTGGAAAGTTTACACTCTTTCTCGAGTAGTTAAAAACCATCGCTCCTAAGAATATCCTTCAATTCTTGTCCCTGACGGGTCTAGGTAGCGAACTTTGAAAAAGGGCGAGCACAATAGATCTATGTTGGTCGTAGTGCTACAGGTGCAGGTATCTCAAAATAGCCCAAACAACCCAATAAAAAAAAGTAAAAAAAAATCTGTATACTTATTGACCGATACTATCGAACTTCCTAAAAATTTATTAATCACTCTATTCCACGCAGATGATAATTTTAACCCCTTTTTATCGGTAAAAATTGGGGTATTTGGGCTTTATTTCTATGGTCCCTCGTACCATTATCGGATATTAGTAGTGATCAATAGAAAGGTCTTTAGACGCATGCAGTTCTAACCAGTGATTAGTTCCAGCAGATGATCGACTACTTCTACTCGAGCTACTATTTTTTCGTGTTTTGATTTGAAAGGCGAGATATGGTCTTAAAATTACTTAAAAATATGGGTGCAGTTCACATAAATCATTATGGTTAACATAATAAAGCATGAGCAAATTTGCTCTACAGTAGAGCTACAGTAGCAACAAGGAATCAAAATAGTTATTTCAACACGAACATATTTCTAATTTGCCAGTAGTAATGAAATCAAAATAAATTGTAAGTATGTTCACTCGGGAATGATCGTCGCGTATTTGTTACAGTGCCAAATGGTTAACTGTTATCTACATACAAAAATAAATACTTTATATGCAACTCGAATAGCCGACGCTAAGAAATATTCGTTTTTCTTCAATTATCTATATTTTAGAAGAGTTTATTAATGAAAAAGCCTTTTTTCTTAACACCTTCATCAGATAAAACTCTACCTAACAGGTATATGTTTAAAAAAATTATTCCACCACGAGTACCGCCATTCTTTTACTTTAGTTGTACCTACCTAATATGTTTCATCATGTATAGTATAAGCCCTTTTTCCATATGACAACGCTTGTATGATGCGCGAAATAATATAACTAACATGCCTATTCTTTTTTTATATCAATACTTTCTAATCCATAGTTTATTTATTTTATTACTTTCTAGTCCATTCAACTAGCTAATCCATATAAATTTATGATGCAAAACGCGTTTAGTTAAATATAGTAATTCAGTAGATATCAATTACTAACTAATGGGGGTTAATGTGCTTAAGAATAACTATTGTAGCTATATGCTAATAGATTATTAGAATTAATAAGTAAAATTTATACCTGAAAATAACACATACAATTTGAGATTGAAAATCTAACAGTTTATGATGAGAAGATTATTCCAGGAAAACAGCCGATATTATCTGGGTATATAATGAAATACATGTCATATTGTATAATTTGATTACTTCCATCTTTTTATATTGCTACAAATTAAATGTACTTTTCATGGAGCAGCGCGTTAGCAGAGCAATTCACGCATGCTAACAGTACAGATACTGTTTTATAGATGTCGCTACGTATAAAACTATACAAAATCTTTATCATTCGTTCTGCAAATTTATAAAAATAATAACGTTTTACGTTAAATGATAATAGGATAGAGTAATAATTAAAATATTTCTTATGAAAACAATTACATTCAAAATCAATATTACCTACTACAATTATGTCTTCTTCGTTTCAACTTTTATGTCTGATCATCGATTCCTGTAAATACCATTCCACTTGTATTAAAACAATGATGAAATTTTAATTTAGAACTACATATAATACATTAGAGAATTAAAATTATATTAGCACAGGGTGTTAAAAGTGCTTCTATACTACCACAACAATTGATTTAGTTTGACGTTAACCAGGCATACGCGTTTTGTGACGTATACGCGAGTATCACGTCGTCGCGTTGCGTCGCCGCGCCGCCGTCGTCGCTTGCGCTCGATCGAACGTGCCTCACCGAATGATTACGAAGTGGAACCATACCAACATTGCTAACCAAACCAACCCACCAGACGACCACTCGTCAATTCGATGTAAACGAGAGCGGTCGTGTTGCTACAGGGCTCATTGTAGTTCGCACGAAAGCCCTTATCTGTGCCTATTCAAATGTAGTCCTTTTTGTGTTGCCCACGTCAAAGGCCACCTTCTGAACTTCGAAAGGAAAATCAATGAAAACGTAAGTTCTCAATTATTTTCTCTACTTCCATTGACAAATTGCACAATTTTTTCACGTCATTTCGTAGATATTTCCTGTTAAGAGTTCCACATTTTGAAAATTGACTTTACTCATATTACACTACATACCAGTTACTTCAATTTGATGTTTGGAATACTTTCTTTCTCTCCACCTCGCATTTATCTGTTTGTCGTCCTTATTTAATAAATAACATTTCTAATTGACATATTATTTTATCTAAATGGAGTACGCCATCAGGCGTAATTTCACTGTAATTCATAACGTTAAGAAAATTAAAAGAGGAAAGGGTACGAGAGACGAGAGCGCTGTCTAGACGTGCAGCATTTGACCCCAATCGGTTTGGTGAACCGAATACGTCAGAATAATATCCCAGAGCACGTGGTCGGTAAATTTAGAGCACGATGCGAACCAGTCGTGGGCTCGTGCTAATTAGTCATAAGTTAGTTACTTACATATCATTCAGTTCCTGTAATCACTTTATTCTAGTCTAAATCTTTGTTTAGCAGCTTCAGCCGCCATAATTCGCAAGGAAATAAAGTATTTTCGGAAATCATTACCTTAATGTTTGCAGTCTACCTTGAAGTACGTTTAATTTATTATTCTGATAATTACACCGGTTCAGTTACTTTAACTCATGAATTATACATCGCGTTATCTACGGTTTGGTTACTATGTGATAAGATTGGACATTTAGATAATGTATTGACATTGCGGAAAATACCATGACAATGGCCTCCCAGCAATATTTTGAGTTAATAAATTGTTATAATAATATTGAAATTGTGATTGATCATCCACGATTGATGATAGAGATCCATAACGAGAGAGTAAATCATGTAATGAAATTCAGCTCCTAAAAGTAATTTCTTGTAAATGTAAAAATCTGTTATAGTTACGATACAAATCTTTCTCACAACATAATGATAAAGCAGGCATAGTTTATTTCGATTTTAAGATTGAATAAGAAAGAAATAAACGCATGTTTTATAAGCAATATTTATATAAGTTGTTTGGGCATAAAGCTAGTAGTTTCCGAATAATGTCGGGTTTTCGTATATACATCGCTGTGATCTTCTACGTTTATATTTTTAATTATAATCGACATCAATCTCTTCTCATTTTTATAACAAGATAATGTGTAATTGAAATAATTTCTATATTAATTCCCATTGATCAGCCGATTAATGAGAATGAATATCGAAATTATTATACGTTCTCATATGAACAATGGGCCAACATACAAACAATATCCTTGTGTTCATTGACCTAACGAGTGTATCGTTGACGATAACTCTACATACTAGAGCTTTAATGAAAATAAGACATTTTTTTGTTATAATTTTATAATTAATTTCAACGACTAAATCACGCTAGGTTTAACTGATAAATGAGACAATATTCACCCTGTAGCACTTACCTACTTACGTCTCTAGGTATTTGTTTCACATTGAAACATTTATTATTAATAGCTATTTTAACCATAACACTTCCTTTAGTGTGTACATAATAGTGACCGTAAGAGATGTTTTCCTTCATCTAAACAATATTTTCCATTTATGTACATATTTATACGTCATTTAATCAAGATTTAATTTGCTATAGTTTATCCATAAGTTACATATTTACATCTATAAAGTATATTCTATATTGTTATACATATATACTTTGTGTACAGATTTATTTTAGAAAGTAGTAAAGCGTGTAGTTCCTAATAATCGGTATTCCAAAGTTTAAGCTATATTTATCTCTGTATTATATTTAACGTAAATAACAAAAAAGAAGACAATTTTAAATACTTTGTTTAAGGTAAAAACATTGACAGTCCAATGGTTAAATCATTATAGACTATTGGACTCTCAATGTTTTATATGGATTGTGTAATCAATCTACTTAATTATGTATTTACTGTGCCAAATAGGAGTACCTAAAAGAAAAAAATATATATATATATATAGCAATAGTATATTGACATTTACATGAAAATTGCTCACGTGTATAAGCGGACTATTGAAGTACTAGAAATATTGATATTTTGGCAATTAAAACCAACGTAACAGGTACTAAGTATATATTTTTTTAATTTATATACGATCTAGCTACTTTATTTCAGATGGTTGTGGATTCGATTCCTCGCATGGTGCAAAAATATGTATACATGACTACAAATGTCTGTATCCGGTCTGAATGTTTTTATGTATATTATTATGATGTATATACTTACGAAAAAAAATCAATTGGTTGTGTAGTATCCATAACATAAACTCTACTTAGCACATCACTAGGTAGCGCTGTGGAAATTGGCCTGGGTAAATAAAAAAATCTATAATCAAATATCATCAAAGTCTTATTTAGAAATTTAAATATAAACTCCCTACTGGTATTGACAATATTCCAACTCGTAATTATTTCCATCTTGGAATCATGGGAATACTTAGGTACCTACGTAAAACATGAATGAATTCTTAGAATATTTACATAAAATATTATTGCTTTAGATCTACAGATTAATTTAATTAATTTCCAAGAGTAAGCACGTACAAGTGATCTTTATACTTAATTGTGATAATTTCGTCATTAAATTTTGTAATTAAAAATCTTTACCTATACATATAGATCTACGACGATCTCCAGGATGTCACGTCGCGTCGTGACGTACAGATATCTAACATTTCTTAAGTAACAAAATTGATATTATTTTCAATCTGAAACACTTCAATTAATGTTTGTAACACAACTTTGTGTATAACGATACATATATATATATATATATATATATATAAATAATAAAAATGATTTTTTTCGGATTAGATATATATTTAATATAGGCACGTGAACTGTCATCGTTACACTACAATGAAATCAATGACAATTATTTAAAATATATTATATATATTATTAGATATTATATTAAAAATAGTCAATTAAAAAGTTATGTCATAGACAATGATGCATGCTATGCTGATGTAAATAACTTGAAATACTTATAAATAAATTAGTGGCAACTTTACATAACAATATTACCTATACTTAATGCAGATATTGATAAAGAAAGACGGTGCAATTACATCAATACTTCTTTATATAATCTTAGAAAGCTATTTATTGAGAGCAAATCCCCTTCCACAGAATATAATTTTCAAAATATTATTAACAATGTCATTATTGTCAGTCGTAGTCTTTATTCTATATTTAATTAATGTAGTAATTCAAATTTAAATTTAGGTCAGTTAGTTTGCAAGCTAGTGTTTTTATATGGCATATACATACATTGTTAGTTGTTACATATTTTTGTACGCAGATGTAGGTCGATGTGACATCTGTATCTGATAATACAAGATATTTATCAGATAGTACGGTAACAATGTAGGAATGTGTACAGTTATAAAAAATTGCGGTGAACTACTATGTTAAATTTGACAACTGTATTGTCACGTAAACTAGTAGGTACGTAACATAAACCACGTGACGGTTACGACATTTGCTTACTTTGGTAGTATGCAATTAAGTAGGCATATTTAGATTATTTTATGTTGTCAAATTTGTATTGTTTGCGTTGAACTCTGTGTTTCAGATATTCAATCTTATTCTAATCACAGAATTAACAGTCACGTCTAGATCCTAACTGATTTAGAAATCATCACAGTTACAGTGAAGTCTGCAATTAACACTTTAGAAATCGAAAGTAATTCTACTATTATTGACCTATTGCTTCTCAAGGCAATTAATTGTTATTACCACCGGATTTCAACACAAAGTAACAACATTTAATAGGATCTTTTTTTCATCTAATCATAACTCGAGACGAATTTACGATATTTGCCCTATAGACACGTTAAATTAAAGGTTTTATTTATCACAAGTGCGGTGGATTGGCGGTTGGTTGTAATTGACTAATTTGTATGGGATACGACAAAATTGAATTATGACATATCCCATATAAGTCAACTCCCGTTGGAGTAAGGATGTAATGTGCCAGTACGCCTTGGGATATCATAAGTACACCTACTGGTGCAATAGACAGAAAACTACTACTTGGGTAATTTTTCCTCTTATAAGGCGAATTTCCTGCTCAACATTAGGGTAATAGATGGATGTAGGTACATATTTAAATACCATAACACCAAATCTGTATATTGAATTTTATTTTTAAGTAGGTATATACTACATACTTACATAAAATTTATATCATAAAGGTTTAGACGATTGACAATAATATCATGTAGCCAATCCAATATTCTAAAATGTTTTGGTACCAAATAACAATGATTAATATATATTCAAAATAACTATACAGATTTAAACCTATTAACTATTTGTGTACCGTTTGAAGAATAGAGATGAACTATATAAGTTCAATTAGAAGTTATATTTTAATCATTTATATATCTAACTATATTTATATTTACGGTATTAACTCTTGACGTGGTGGGCAGCAAACACTCTATCATTCATCTCATCTTATTTCGCAGACAATTGTTTGTTTATACCTCACCAGGTGATTCCCACTTATAACAATGCCATAAGCGTCATATAACCGCCGCCGTCGCCCGCCGCGCTGTTGTTAAGCCAGTCAATTAGCTGGACTTTCATGTTATATACCTATACATTATGCGAGTCATAATATCATTAACACGCTCCACGCAATGACGGCGTGGTTAATTGTTGCTACGCTCGAGCCAGGAAAAGACAAGATTACAACCAAAGATAACTTTTCACGCAAGTATAGAGAATTCATCAATTAAAATTATAGTTACTAGAACTTCATCCTTACATCCTGGAAATTCCACATATTCGCACCGAGTGATTCGCGTCGTCATTTTTAATACGTACTGCCAAAAGAACACATCCAGCTTACGTGTTCCCGGATAAATCGAACCCCGGATTCTTCATGTCTATGATGAATAGATATCTTCTGGGTAAGCGCGCTACATCCTATGTATATATTATATATATAGACCAAGCGCAAACCAATATAAGTCAAATAAATAAGTTTCTCAAAAATGATAAGTTAAAAAACGCTATAAAATAAATCATCAAAACATTATATGATCACTCACTTTAATAAAGAATTGATTGTGAGAGTATGACAATTAATATTTTTTAAAGAATTTTAATATAGTAATAAATTGATAAAGGGTGAGTCAAACTCACAATCGATGGTACCTACTGAACAAATGTTTTAAACACAATTATTTTCCTCATCAGACAATTAACTAACTACAATGTATTAACTAAGTAAGAATATATATAAAAAAATACATCAATATAAATAATAATCATATCAATACAGTCATAGTGCCAGAAAGAAACTATGTTGAAAGGGACTAAGCGGTTGTCTACAGACGTGGACTTTGAGTCCACGTGGGTAGTAACCACTTTATCTCAAGCTGAATTTTAATTTTAAGGGATGAGATATAGCAATTTAATTATGTGGAATATTAATAATACTATTATGCTGGACTGGCGTATAGTGTCTATTTTCCTTATCCTAATGAGTTGTAGCTGTAGAATCCTTTGTTTCTCTAAACCGCTACAATCACATCCTGACAAAGAATAGGCATAACGTTTATCTATTGTTACTTTTCACACAAACACACATCAAACCCGGATACGAATCTTATTTTCTGCATTTTTAATCTATAGTTAATTTAATTTTTACTTTTTCACATTTTCCCCCCGTTATAATGTATTGTTACTTACTCACCCACCATACTGATCCATGCCAGTATGAATAAGTTATGCAAGAATTGCGCTGCTGCAATATTTTATTGAAATAAGATTAGATACTACTTCGTTCGTATATTCTTTTATGTAACAGGAATGGCAAATAAAAACCGTCTCAATATACATGAGTAGAGTAACCTATACCATGGAAATCACGTTGTTATGTGAAATCCGAAGTACCACAGATAACACACGGTAGTACTTATCCATCACGACATTAACTTTCAAACTAAAACAGTTTACAAAAGCAATCTGTTTAGCGACTGAAATTATTTTCTGCTAACTCTACCTCGGTAATTTATAGCTACATATTTATAGACAACAAATGGTTCATTAATCGTTGTAGGTATGTCATATTTTGTGCTCAAAAGATAAAGTAATTATTGTTTGATTGTTGCAGATCTGTCGCGGTCTAGATCAGTGGTCGACCGTCACACAACGCAGTTCACAGTCCCTTCCCGATGGGTTGAGTACGCCGACATATCGTGTTTGTGGTCATACCACTGACGCAGTAAGTAACCCTTCATTTATGTTACAATGAGCTAACTCACCAGTGACCCTAAATTATACGAGGTCTACATTTACTCTACTTGAAAATATATACCTATATTTACTTGAATGCTTACAAAAGAAGCGTAGAATTTTGCGAATGTTTGCTTGTATGTATGTACTGGGATAGAAAAGTAAACAAGACAAGTCAACAGGACAAGATTTCGGTATTGAATGTCATATAGAATATATTTTGATCGTATTTATTACTAGTATTTACATAACCTAACTGTACAACTAATGTATGTACTTATATACCATATATAAAATAATAATGATACTAGTATGACATTAAATGAATTGAACGGCTCGATTAGTTTTGATGTATAGAACATATTTATATATATAAATAATAATAAAAGATACACGAGAGTTTTCTTTTTAGTGGGGTCCACTTAGGATGTCATAATATTTCGAATAATTTTGGAGGTCTATTTTAATTAATTGAATTTGCATCGCATTACAGTAAATATTTATAAAAGCTAAATTAATATGATCATTATAATAATAATGATTTTAATGCCTTTTTATGTAATTAGAATGAATAGATGATATAGGTTCTATTCAAATTATGTGAACTATGCCGATGTCAATTATATATTATAGATCCAATTGCCAATATAGATAATTCATTTGTTTATCACTTATTGTACTACACATTCTTGAGAATCGCTAAAAATACCGGCCTGAGTCATCTATGTACATACAACTTAGAATGGGGATATATTCAGACATTAACTTTTTTTAAAATAAACCAGTCCTAAGTTTACCAAACATGTAATTGAACCAGAATACCTCTCTCTCTATGCAGTAAAATAAAACGTAGTGATTAATTACTACAATGCAGTAAACAATATGTCTGTCTAAACTAGGGGAATCTCTTTTATTTCTTTTATGTACATATATAAATTATAAACCTATATAACTGGAATACTCTGCAATATTAATATTCTGTAACACGGGAATGTCTGAACAAGTCAACTCGTCCGCGATCATTGGCCTCAATAGAGACCCCTTCGGTGCAATGTATTCAATGCACCACACATGCACATTTAAGGACATTCACCCCGACTTTTTGTTTCCTTCTAGTAGTAAATGTAGTATAACCCCTTGGGATTGACTATATAATATAATATAGGCTCCAGAAGCTATATAATATAAGATAGACTTTCAATCACAAGTTACATAATGTCATAGCAATGTTGCTATGACATTATGTAACTTGTAAAAATTTAATACTACAGTGAACTTATACTGAATAATAGACAATTTTAATAATATGTGTTAATAATTTATATCAACAATTTAAAAAATATTATTTGTAAGGAAATATGATTTCCTTTTAAAAGCTTCAATATTTTATGAAAAATTGTGCTTATCTGTCTCATTCAAGGAAAATTCAAATTTGTCATATTTATTTCCGCATTACTCATTATATTCGTAAGTAGCAATCACAGAGTACCTTTTTAGATAGCTACAGATAAGCCCTGAAAAATTTAGTCATTTCTTTATCTGTAAGCTCTGCTACATATTTAAAATCTATCCTAAGTAATTACTTAAATAATTTGTAAAAAAAACATATTTCTATTATTACACCCAGTTCCTTACGAAATAAACAGCCTCATACATAAGTATGCATACTGCCTTACAGACAACGGATGGTTTATTTACTTTCTTAACTCTCTCTCGCATACACTGGTTTCGGAGACTATTGACTCCTGCCAGAAATAGCATCACAATGTATAAAAACATAGACATGTAATACTCTAAAAAGGAGTGTATATATTTTTTGGTTGTAATGTATACCTACTTAATAGATTTTAAAAATCTTTCAGCTATAAAAAGCTACATTATCAGAGATTATAAAAATTGATTTACCCACCATTACACCCATCCGAAGCTGCTGTTATATATACATACTTGTAATTAATTATAATTTGAAGTATCTTGATAATGATATATGTATTTACAAAAAAAAACCCTATTTCTATACGCAATATCTATAACAAGTACAGCCGTGTTTCCTTGTCATTACTTTAAAAAAATTGATGCAAACCGTAGTATGCTACTTGCAAGCATAACATTTTTGGTCTTCGGTACAAGAAAATCGTTAGTCTTGTAGAAGTTTGAACCAGATTTAGACTCACGATAATCGATTAAGATTTTTGACTTCTTGTCACGAGGCTAATTTCTCGAAGGTTGACAACCCTGTTTCTAAACAATACAATAGCTTGTCGCCTTGTCATCGTAAGTCACACAATATCCATATTCTCGCTAAAATATCTGAATAATGTTGGTATTCTACCTGGTTTGTAATTAGTTAGTAAGGACAAGAATGAAAACGTACAATACATACGAGTATAACCGTTTTAAATCCGTTTTTCACTTAAAACGGATTTAAAACGGTTATACTCTTTCAATAATGTTTTCTTTCGTCTGTTAACATTAATTAACCTTAATTATAATTTTAACGTTTTATAATAATTATATTGTATTGAGATATTTATAAATAAATGGAATAAATAAGTCTTCTTGTAGTTAGAAATACCTTTCTCTCTTATTACTCCTTTATGAATAGTATTTTATTTCTCTAACTTCTTTTATTTTTCTCATAAACATTAAAAAAATATTGATAAATTTAATAAATTTCCTTTTTTAACGGTATATAAATAATACATTCTTGTTGGTGTAAAACTGTAAATTCAATATAGCATCTTGATAACCTTATTATTTAGCCATGGTTTATATTATTTTGTGTTGCCTTAAGTGAAGCACTTAACATATGCTGCAAATAGCATCACATTCAAGGACATATGTGTGCGTTCAGTAGTCAGGGTTGGCACCTACAAAGTATCATCTCTCATCCAATTCAGTAAATTCTTAATAAAGGGATGATGTTCGTTGTGTTATATTACTATGTCTTCCAGTTGACTGTCATTCTTATAATGTCATGATCAAAAAATGATGATTTAAACAAAAATTCTAAATATAGTCAAGCTTGTAATAATCTTTTTAAATTGTCTAAATCAAGCATAAATATCTTTTTAATTTTAATATCACTTAGGGGTAGGTCTCGGTAATGTAAGCAAAATAGAAAACACAAATGACGTATAATAACGTTAAATACCTACAAGTATTTGTAAGTATTCAACGTCATTATATCCATAATGGATCAGACACAACATAAAAAATATAAAATATTACAATTTATATATTGGCCGCTCCCATCCTCAAATTAATAATTTAGCTCAAAAGTAGAGACTAAATATACAATACAATAAAGAACTACACGTTGTACGTTTCTATGGTTTATTCTAAATGTTATAGATTAGATTTGTGATATATTGTAACCCCGCTTTTAAATATTTTATTTTTCATTTAATATATTTATTACATAAAAGTTAAAACGATGATTGTGAAACATATAGAAAAGATTCCCCTTTCTCTGTTAAAATTATATACTATTTACGATATAATTTTAACAGAGGAAGGGATGTGAAATAAGATTTTTAACAATAGCAGCCCTATCAAGAGTAAGGAAACGTATTTCTACAATTCAGGACGTCGTTTATGATCTCTTGATAATGCTTTAAATCTTTATTTCATTTTAAAGTGCTCAGTGTATTATATAAATTCGAGGAAACATGCCGAGAAGCATAAATATAATAGAATTGCGTAGAATTGTTTCATGATTTATGATATTACACAGAAAAATCTACTCGTATGTAATTTTTCAGTCATTGATGTAGGTATTTTCATTACGACCTTATTATTACTGCTACATACAGTATAATAATATGTAAAAACATTGCAAATGGTAATACGAACGCTCAAACCTATGAGATACATATACCTATATATTTATAACCTACTAGGTATTTGAGGCCACAGTGCCAAAATAACGAGATATTCATTCAAATTTAACTAGGTACCTACTTGTTATTACACTTTATATTGCGTCTCATATATATTTAGAAATAAACAAATATTCTATAAGATTTATTTTTATATATGCAGAAGGCATTCTATGACATCAGAATCTTTCTGGCGCCAGAATATTTTGTACTATAAATGTATATATACATTTAGCTACGTAATTTGTTATGAACTAGGTAGGTGCATGTTTAATTTAGATTTCTAGGGATTTATATACTTATAATATTTATCGTTGATAACTGTTACTACTTGGTTTTTTGCATTTAATTTTAAATAGTGTTGAATGCGACTGATTACCTAAGTAAAAGATTTTAACTTAACAAAATCAGCTAAGAAGTCCCAGAATAATACTATGATATCCAGAGTAATGATCCAAATTAAAATAAAGCCTTTTCAAGTAGTTCGAGAGAGTTTGGTAACGACGGAGATCCTAATTTCTGCGTAATCATTTGGAGGAAAAAGTCGTTCAAGTATTGAAAAGCAATACAACATTGGACTACTTTTTTCATATACCCTGCTGTATTTATATTTGAAAACTATTATATTGAACAAGAAGAAACAAAATACCAAACTTGGCTCTAATTAAGACACCAAAATAATGACGCCGACTTGGCGCCAGTTTTTAACACAATATTTTAAAAGGATGTAGAATGTAATTTCTAAATATAATACTTTATCTGATTATTGGCTTAGTCTTCGCATATATTTATTATTACAGTATTGATAGATCACTACTCGTGCCATCAAAGATATATTCCACCACACCAGTACATGATCGTAAAAATCATAAAACCAAATGTATTTGCCCCGACAGTATTGATTTACTTCAGTGATGTTTACGTTATCGACGGACGTACTTTTACAATTTCGCTATTCATATTTATAAATATATATATATATTCTAGGAAACGACTTTAGGCATCAGCACCAGAATAGCGTATGATCAGGTACCCTTATTTCATTATTGACCTTTATGGTTCAATGTAGAAATATCAATTCGAATTTTTGGATTAAAAGTTTTAGAAGCTCACTCCGTTTTATAAATATATGTAAGTAGACTTATTAAATAATATAATTTAAATATGGTAAGTTGTAACCATGTCGTTACTAAACTAAATCAACAAAAATAAAAACAACTGTTTGGTACTTATGTTGTTAGTGTCTCCAAAGCTTATCATCATGACTACCTACTGTCTTCCACTGCTGGACATAAGTCACGAAGAAGTGTCAAATACGAAATAAAAGGACGATTAAGGCAAACCACGCTGATCAAGTTCATTTAGAATGTAGTTGCAAGGTCTTTCTTGCTTTGTTCCCCTAATTGCTTCTAACTACATCTTAGGGAAAGGCGACACTACATGGAAAACAATAAAATTCAATAAACCTATCGGTTTCTTATCTTCAATAGTGTATTCTGAAATGGAGTATGTTGAAATAAGAGTTGTGTACATGTTGCTATGCCGATTAATTGCTCAATAGTGTATTGTTAGGTTAAATGCGGAAGCGCATATTCAAGTCTATTCTCTACATTTAATTTTAATTATCTGCTGATCGCTGAGTCGAAATATATATAATATATAATAAATAAATAAATATATATATATAAAACATCCCGTAAAATTAACAGAAACTTCGGAAGATGACATGCCACATGAGCCTATGTAGGCACAGGCCTTTAAGTCTCACTTTTATAATGTGTTACTAAGATACTTTTTTGTGATAAAAGATACCTATCAATAGATTATATTACTATATATTGGATAATATTGCCGTACTAAATTTCATGAGATAAATTCCATTTAGTCGTGATAAGGTAACAAACAGACAACGACACTTCCGAGTTTACATTACCATTATCACTGTACCTCTAATAACTATTTTAGTCATTTTAGTTAGTACATTTAATATATATACACTGTATTAGGTATTTATTTATATTATTTAATTACTTAATTATTTCAGACTACCCTTTTTCTGGAATGTGTAAAATTGCTTAATTGAACATATAATTAAGTAATTTCGCACATTCAGGCATATAAACCTGTGTATTATACCAATCAATTTTTAATTGAAAATGGTCGTATCCACAACAGATACATACAAAAATAGAGATTAAAACTTACTGTATTTTAATGCATCGTTGCTCCTTTTTTTCTGTTTATTTCGGCAACAAAGAGTTGTTATATAAATACATATTTTAGATATATATAATGCGTTTACTTTTTTGTCGTTTTGTTAATATAATTTATGTATCACCACTATTTCCACCAGTCCACAATTCCTTTCAGTCATTCATAGGTTGACTGGATGAAATCCGTTATTTGGAATAAATACACCATGGCAATTTATTTCTTAAGGTCGTTGGGTCTGCCGGTCGGTACTGTCTTTTTAAATGTTTCTACTGTAGAATCAATTATTGTATCACAAAAACAAAAACTTTTCAATAACAATTAAAATTAGTTTCAAGTGTTTTGCGATATCTGATTTTGATAAATTATTTTTATATTATCGTAGTTTCTATTAATTATACCGAAATTTAAATGGCTTGTTTCTTTGGAATAATATACTGACAAAATTGAACCCTTGATGCATGATATCACTTTACAGAAATATATCTAAACAAGTAAAATAAAAATGATCTTATTCACCATCGGCTAGTCGTCGCCTCGTGTAAAGTAGGCAGGTAGTGTTCAATTTCAGCAATCTGAAGATACGTTACTCTATAATGTCGAAACACAGTAGTGTAACTTTACCTGTTAAACGCGATTCCGGGACAACTTTTTAAGTGAAATATTGTAAAAACAGAATAAGTTTATTTATCTACAAACATTAATATTCGGGAATAACAAAACAATTGTTATGAGGTATTTTCATATTATTCTCATAAATAATTTACTTTAAAATCTGAACTGTTAATGTTCGCAAGTTTTAGGCAGTACATTAAATTTAGAAATTAAGTACTATTTTTTTTACTAAAGTTAAGAATCTTTTTTAATATCTGACTGTGATCTAGATCTATGTATGAGACTGTGTCTGGATAAAAATTCTTTCATTTTCTATATTAATGCATTTGTAAACACCATGTTGTTCCTATTGACTAGGTAGGTAATTGCTCGCAAGTCGAAGATAACAGGAGAGCGCAATGGATATACATTTGTGTATCTCTTATTGATATAATGATAACAAGAAATATACATGGCTTCTGATGTTCGTTTTCTAGTACTATCTTATAACACAGACGAAATAAACATCTATTGAAATTAATTACACAGTTCTCACTTGAAATTTAATTTAAAGTAAAAAGACAGTAGTTCTGGTGAGTTTTATTGTTACTATAAACGGCCTATAGAAAATCATATGCGATATTATATTTACCTATAATAATTCCTGTAGAATTTTTTATTCGAACTATTTGTTTATTCGTTTGTATCTATTTAGTATTACTGTGATAAAAATAAACATCAATCAATTTGTGCAATTCTCTTTATATGTTGTAACTATTTATTTGATTTAACTATCTACACCTATTATTAATTGGATTAATAAAATGTAGATTTAGTATTTAGAGTTTTGTAGTATTTGTTTATTTATGACCATTCTTCTCATTGTTCGCAGCGTATACGTATGCATTATCTGTAAATTTTCAAGACCAAGATATTTAGAAAGTGCTCATATGTATAGTAAACTAGGCGTATGGCTCATATGTATATAAAGCTATCTCTACTATAATAATATTGTAAATACAAAAATATGTTTATCTGTCTGATTGCTACTTTTCACGCCTAAACAATATGAAGTCATTAAGAAACTAAACGTAACTATTGGTTTTGTCACGACGACAAGTACAGGATATAGCAATATAGTAGACTACATACCTCACTTTGAATAAAACATTCACATTTATTATTTATGAAAATTCAGTAATATATACATAATAATAACGTATCATAATTTTTATTAGTATAATTTAAATTAAAAAAATATTATAGATACATAATTCTCACGTTTTCTGTGATTTGTGTTTTATATATGTGTATTGTGTATCATAACTGTGTGGGTTTTAGTTATGTTAACATAATATAGCCTACATATTATTGATAAAAACTTGACATCTAAATTTCGTTTCTGTTTGTTTACAGGGTAAAAGGAAGTATACTAGAATCAGGTGTGGTTTTACACCAAAATACATATCGTGCTGAAGCTGATTCCAATGTCGACTCCGGGACCAAGCACCGGAGCGTCATCAGTGTTACCGTGAACACTACAGTGAAACATCGCATCTTTGATGCTCTCATCTCTACTTGAAAAAGTCATCTATTCATACTGTCACTTCATTATTATTAAATTTCTCAATATCTTTTTTATTTTATAGTCATTGTTTATTTATATATATCTATTATATAACAAAAAATGAGTAAGATACTGAAAGTAGTTGGCGCCTCGTGGGTTCGGACTAAGATTAGTTCCTACATTCTTGGAATACTTGGAGTCCTCGCTTTCCTGGCTCTCTTTGTCGGACAGATTGAAAGGTAAGTTATCTGAAATATACTATGTTTTTCGTGTATTCTAATTTCTAACTATTTTCCGTAGAATAATAAAACGACATAAATCATTAACAAAGCATCTTAAACGGCCTCTTTATTACGGTTTCTTCATTTTCATTGTTATTCACAAGTAATAAATATTGATAATAGAGACAGTTTCTGGAAATATTGTAGTGACCATAAACACCGCTGTTTTTGATGATTATTTTTTATCTTTAATCTCTAATCAAATGTAGGTTGTTTAGGCATTCCTTACCTAAAGTTGTCTAAAGTATACCTATATATAGTAGCAAGAGGATGTAGATGTTACCCCTATTAATTAAAAATATATTTGGCCAATGTAATAAAAAAAATATTCGGAAAACACTCACATGATGCTCTTATTGGTTGGGTCATTTTATTTCTATCACACTTTAAACCTTATCATAATGTACCCATTTAATGACGTAGGTTTATATCCGAGGGTTTACGTTATATATTGGCGGGCCTCCAAAATATTATTTGTATTTGCTTATTGGTAATAGAACGAGAAATATTTGGTAACATAAGTTTTTGTTTTCAGAATACAAGAAGATGGAAATTATGCAGCCACCGTTTTTTATTCCGACAAGACTGGTTATCGTATTGAATACTGGGGCCAAAGCAATGAACTAGCTAATATACCAAAAGGAGTAGCTCGGGCACACTTCAGAATGGATGTTGATATTACCGGGTAAGTTATATAATTTTTTTATAAGAACTATGGCCAACAAGCTGACGCCTCATTTGACTGACATCTGACATGCGACTTGCTACAATGTATATATTGGTATAAAGTCTAATATTCAAGAACGCTTTCAGAATTTACATAGAATTGACCACCAATAGCGCTACGAGTTATTAACAACTTAATCGGGATGTCTCTAAATGAAACTCTACTTTAGATTATGTTATAGTGATAAAAACAAACGCGGTCTAATATTCTTCAGACAAAGTTAAGCTAAGAGTAAGAGAGAGTTGAGTACTTACATAACATAAAAATTGCGATTAGACAGCGTTTTTGTATAATTAATAAATAGACTATATCAAGGAAAATCGTATCTGATAACCTTAATAGTTACTTTACATAAAACGTTCATGATTATTCGCCTTTATAATAACTGTGATGTATATATGGTCTAACTATAAAACTGGACAGTGACTGAATTACATGAAAATAGAATAGTAGGGCAATGGTTGTGGTGTGTGCTTTTTGGCAAGAGTTCTAAGTGTACTTTCAGCTTCTCTCATATATTGAGTACCCAATACAGACAAAAGCCGAACAATCCACTCCATGAATGCGATTTTGGTAGAAACCTTGATTTTCGGGAAAATCAATTTTTTTGATATATTACTGGAATAGCAAACCATACCATTACCACCATATTGTCATTCCAAAGGAAGATGTTACGACTCCCTATAATATCACTATCATATCGCACTCTTCAACTGAAACAGGTGGACTGAGGTAGATATTTCGACAACTTTGCACAAAGCCTATAGAATTAAACACACATTTTAACGTTTTTGTTTAGTTAAACAGTAATGAATATTGCTTTGGAGTTAGTGACGTTGTTTTATAAAAGTAAATTGGCAATTACGATTAAATTCGTAATAGATTTGAATGAGGTACACAAATGTGTCCATTAGCTAGGATAGCACATAACGAATTCGAGCAAACATGTACATGTTTGCTCGAATTCGCGAAAAGAATACGTAGGTATAAGCTCAGCAGTTTCTATTCGCTTATTAATTATAATATACGAACAATAAGATTTTACTTTTTTGTCATAAAAAAACTAACTGGAGTTAATTGTCATACTATTAGTATATTTAGTACGAACAAAGTGGTACCGATATTTTATGTCACCGAACAAGATCACGAAACAGAAGAATGAATGTCGTGATTCACGTTATGCTAATGAGACATCTCATTGAGATATTTATCACATAAACGTACGAGACATATTACATAAGTGCCGATATTTACGCAAAATTGAACTTCGGGATGATATTGATATTTTTTGGAAAATAATCAATTTTAGTTAAGTAGATCAATAATATTACATTTCATGACAATGGTCGATTCTTCCGACCATTGTTTATCAAATTTATAATATATAATTATATATATAATTTTAATAAAAAATTATAGCGACTTTTGACTAGATGAAATTTGTGTATCACAAAACTTCAATTCTGATAATTTTAATATAAAGGGATAACGCAAGAAAATTCTTTCGATTAAATAAAAAATAATAAAATGTGTTTACACGTGGCAAAGATAACATGTAACGTACAAAAAATATAAGGTCAAGTGGAAATTCTCCTGATTTCTGAAGATCAATGTACTTACACACCACATGTAGGTATTAAGTACGCATCTATTTACATATGGATCCAACATTTTTGAAATATTATTTCTATTATTAGGTGGTCGCTCTTAGAGGTTGAAACTGATGGTTCATACCCAGATGAGGTTCAAGCGTATGCCGCTGGTATCGTCGAGGGTGCACTTACTTGGTACCTAATTCATACCCACCTTCAGAACACAATCAGAGAGAAATGTGAAAACAAACCATTAGAAAAACAATGCAATAAACTGAGAGACACACTAGATAGATCAGCAGATAGATGGAAGGCGTATGCGGCGGAACGCGGCAATGCCGATCCTTTTTGGCATCAGGTATAATGTTTTTCAGTTATACTAATATTATGAACGCGAAAGTTTATCTGATTGTCTATTTCTTACCATTTCACTACTAAACTACTAATTGGAAGTTTTTAAAAATTCATTGAAAGATAATTTTATCACGAAGACGATTACAGATGATGATGACAGACTATGAAAATGGTGCTGAAAGTTTGTACAAAAATTATGATGAATCAGAATGATATAGAATAAGTGTAAGAAAATGATTACATTTAACATAAATGTCATATTGATATTTCAGGTATCTTTATACTACACTCAGATTAGTGGAATCTCGACTGGTTGGAAACATGGAGTGGAGCGCAGTATGTCTGAATACGACACCGACATTTCAGATTTATACTGGTTGAACTCTTTAGCGGAAGTAATAGAATTACAACAGAAACTAAATATCTCTCTGGAGGATCCAATATTAACCACTTTGCCTGACTTATCCAGTGCATTCATAACAATTACCAACGAGACCTCTGCCGATGATATTAATTACAAGAAACTGTATTTAGCGCAGAACAGGGCTGGAAGGTAAAAATAATTAAGAATTAAAATTGAAAAAAAAATACATGTACCATAGAAATCATATTCTATATATTTATATTTATTTCTACTCTTTATTGCACCAATTACAGAAAATAATTATAACAGTAGATATTATTAACTGATACCAAAGGCGGTCTTCTCGCAAAGCAGTCTCTTCCAGACTACCTTTGGGTCGATAGAGAAAGTAAAGATAGTAATAGGGTAGGTGTAGATGGCGCGCATAATAAACATCACAATATATGTACACAAGTATACATATTAACAAATATATAATAAGATAACAACATACATATATATGTAAATACTAATAGAATATTCCGATAGTTTATAGATAATGGTCTTGGTTATTGTACACAAACAGGTGTCATAAAATATGCTGCCTAGCTTATAAGATCCCTTTTGCTTATTAGGGTGATACTATACGGTGGGATAATACTATATCTGGTGATATACCTATAGACTGTGACTTAACCTTAGTCCACAGTATGTGTGATCTTAGTAATATGGGTACCGGCTATGATACTCACATAAAACCATACTATAGCAAATAACAGTTACATTTTTTTTATACCACATAGGTGGCAAACATATAATCAAACGATATCAAAGTAAACGCAGGTACCTATAATACCTATTATTAATAAATTATTGTCATTTACTTTATTTTAGCTACACTTCTATGACACGTATCCTTAAAAGGTACAAATTAAACTATCACCTTACATCCGAAGATACGACTGTTGTGCCTGGTACCTCAGTAGATTTCTCAGGATATCCTGGCTCTATCACCAGTCAAGACGAATTCTACATTATTAGAGGCAAAGAACATAGAATAGCTGTTACTGGTACTTCACTGCGAAATTACAATAGCAAATTGTGGAAAGAAGTTAACATCACAGATCAAGTAAGTATATAGTATAAGTAATTCCTGTTTATCATTGGGAAAATAATTCTACTGGATACAATTAACTCCTATTAAAATTGTTTCTGTAATATAATTATTTGATTGATTCTCAATGTGACTGGTCTTGTTAGTCCAGCATTATAGCACACCGCTTTAATGCTTTAACTTGGCTTGGCTTGGCTTTGGTTGCGGGTGCGAGTTCCTTTCCTCTCATAGTACTTAAACGTTTAAGAGTACAATTGTTTGTATTCCTGTATTTCTAAAAAAAGTGTTTAGGTATTCTTAAATATTGTATCAGTCGTATACCATAACACAAGCTGTGTTTAGTTTGGAACTAGATAGCGCTGTGGGAATTATCCTAGGTTATAAATGGGATCATTCATAAATTATCTGCGTATCAATTTTAATCAATTTCATTGCAGGTGCCAGCAGGTCCGCGTGTATTTGCAGCCAACCATCTTGCCACAAATGTAAGCTCGTGGGGCCGAACTCTTGCTAGTAGCAATTCAGGCACCTCTTGCAAGCAATGGCTTGTTGTGGACTTTGATAAATTCAACCAATACCATGAACCTACTGTGTCAAATAAAGTGCATCTATCAAGATATTTTAAAAACGAAGTCTTCTCTGAAAGCACAATTACAAAGTGAGTATTATTTTCTCCATAATAATAATTACTTGTTTCTAAGGTTAATTTCTTTATACGCCTACATATGTATAAATAAATCATCCCTATAATAGAAACAGTTATTATACAATTATAATCTGACGGCTTACTTAATAAAAACTAGAAATCATTAACTATAGAGATCAATGACTATTAATGAAAATCTGAGTAGACAGTACACAACCAAATTGTTCAATTGTGACATTAATAATTTACGTTAAACATAATCTATACTAATATTATAAAGCTGAAGAGTTTGTTTGTTTGTTTGTTTGAACGCGCTAATCTCAGAAACTACTGTTTCGAATTGAAAAAAAATATTTTTGTGTTAGATAGTTCATTTGGCGAGAAAGGTTTTATAAAACATTACGCTACGACCAATAGAAGTGAAGCATCAGTGAAAAATGTTGCGAAAACGGGGAAAATTCTATAAAATATTTGAGTGATTGCGTGCGCTGCGTAAACGGTTCAAGTTACCCAAAAAAATGTTTTGGATAACCACGCACACGAAGTCGGGGGCACAGCTAGTATTTGTATAAAACTGACACAACTAGAATACAAAGACATTCACCGATCAGCCTAATATCGTTCATCATTGCTCTATATTTTCAGGATTGGTTGAGAAGAGGTCATGTAAGTCAAATGTAATTTTAAACATGACATGACAATAATATTCATTTTTTCAGAGATATCAAGCACACTGTTTACCGAACATACAATGGGCATGGAAAAGGATTGTTGTTGCTTGTAGAGCAGGTACCTGGACGTACACACTCCGCTGACCTGACCGACATGTTCTTGGAGCAAGGCTACTGGGCTATCTATGGACTACCGTTCTTTAAGGTAACATTTCAATACATTTTACAATATATACCGTGTAAACGAAATCGTATTGAATAGACTATTTTTAATCCCGTCGCAGAAAATAACCGGTGTTATATGTATGTCGTAGTTACCTGTGTAATCTTGGTCGTAGCTTGGCAACGAATGGAAATATTTTTATACGTTTTTTTTTGTTTCAAAGCTGCGTGATAGAGATTGTTCTTATTTTCTATTTATTAAATTTTTTTATTGGATATTACTTAGTTTCATAGTTGAAGCACAGATAACATAATTTGGTTGAAGTAAACCTATACGAAGACTATAATAATTTACATATATATTCCTCAACATATACACCTAAATTAGATTCTGTAAAAATACATTATTAATAAAAATGTTGTATTACCTATACCTTCATTGTTTACAGGATATAGCAGAACTGACGCAAATCACCAAAATGGAAGAGATATATGGAAATATTTTCTCTGAAACTGAATCACCACGCGCTGTTATGTTTAAAAATGGATACAAAAACGCAACATCACTTGAAAGTATTATTAAATTAATGAGACAGAACAACGTAACTGCAATTAATCGTGCAAGCAACGAAACTGAATCGTGCGCTAATAGTTGGGAATGCTTCATCCAAGAGGAAGGCTACTGGTCAGTGTTAGGAGCTCGTGGCGACATGGTGCAGCGCTATAAAGAAGCATACGGCGTTATAGACACAAAAGTCGTGAGCGGTAAGTACAGAGTGCAAATACTCTTCTGGTATTATATTACTAATATGTAGTATTGATAGAGAATCTTTTATATCAATTTAAAATGTAGAATCTATGCTGATTGTCACAACAAATAAACCATTATGAAACTTATCGTCTACATAAGATAAGACCATTCTAATTCAAATTTAATTAAATAGAATATAACATGTGAACTATCTAATAAATACAATATAAATATTCTAATAGAACAAAATAACATGAATGAACAGTTAAAATGAATGAACTGTTATATTGTTCTATTAGAACAACGTTTGCTTATTTGAGTGTAACATGTTCAATATAGTTATAATCACGTGCATGAACAAGTAAACGCCATGAAGCATCTATAGAGTAATTGTAAAATTAATTTAACCTGACTCTTACGAAATTGAGAATTTAAACTTTACTGAGCCTTGATATCTGGATTCCGATAGTGTTTCAAAGCTATATTTTATAATTACTTACAGGCATTTTGAACGATACCGCATTAGGATTTGTTGCAATATCCGGCCCACCATACACACATGTATCAAAGTCAAATAATACAAATATAAACAAAGGAAATATAGCGCCCATATACACACATCAGTTTGACGACAAACCAAGCATCGATGGCCTCGAAATCAGGGATCTCGTAAAGCAACAACTGGAGGAAGCTGAACAGGAAACCTTAGACATTCTCAACAGAGACGTGGTTAAACCATTCCAGTGGTCTGAAAGCGATTTTAAAAATAAACCACATAGAGGTCTTCCAGATAAATGGGAATTCGAAATTTTCAAGCCACAATGGTCTTGGTGAATCTCTTTTCATAAAGCAAATTGTCTCATTAGTTTACTATTAGATATGTTAAAGCAATATACAACCACAATGCAATCATAATGCAATATTATGAAAGAACATATTTTTTTATTGTAATAATAATTTTGTTACTAGTTCAAAGTCATAATTTTTGTACCTTCCTCGTGGATAATTTAAGAAAAAAAAATTCCATATTCCCAGTATAGAAATAATATACAAGCTACTTCTATATTTATTACCAAACTTTAACCTATATAATTTTTTTAAATTATTTATTTATTGGATATGTTAAGTAGTTTCGTTTGTGTTCTTTTGCTACGTGTTTTATTTTTAAATAATTTATTACTATAGTTATTTGTGATATCCACTTTTAAGAATATACACAAGTACACAGAAAATTAAATTATCTTTATATAAGTAAGCAAGTATGCTCTAAAAATTTTGAATATTTTACTTTACCGACTCGACCTATGTAATTGCTACCTAGGCACTTGTGTTGTTTGTTGTTACTTAATTGATACCTATTATTATTTATTGTAAAACTAAAATCATAATAATTACGTATGATAAAAGTATATGATATATTTTATTGACTGTAATTTTAATATATATTATTTTTAATAAAGATGAAGTGACTCAGAATTTTTTTTAATTATTCTCTTGAAAATAAACTTATACAATATTGCTAGTGTCGTCATTTGATTTACAAACTATATACAAAATTGTGATATCTATGTATATATATTTAGTTCTAGACATACTACCAAAATATTGTAAAATCTTTAATTAGGTTTTATAATTAAAATATTAAGTATATTGTACAAAAAACTAGTTTTAAAATGGACTCAATAGTTTCTATACGCAGTATATAAGTATATTTAATACGAGTAGTTCTTAAAAACTGTTTAACACCAAGTGCAGTGAAGTAGTGTCTAAATTAGATGACATTATTAAATGATTCGTTGGATGGCATTCAACCTAATGCTTTTATGATGTACATGACTTTGTAACAAAACACAATTAATCTCAAAATACCTATCAATTATAAAAAAAATATATTTTGCAAACCTGGAAACTATTACAAACATACAGAGATAAATTTAGTCAAAGATTTCATCTCGGCGAAGAGTTTTAAATTATTATGATAGTTTTTTTTTATTAACTCTAGTAAAAGTTAGCAGCGGTTCCGAGGGTGAGCTAAGAAGTGCACCACCCTCGCAAATATGTAAAAAATCAGTCCTTTTGTCCCGGTACAATTTATTATCCAATTATTTTTAAACCTATATCTTGAAATAAATGGTCAGCTGACTATAACATAGAACATTATATGTCAGCGGATACCACAAACATATAAAAAATGTGATTGAAGAAGTGTTTTTCCCCTCCGATCGATCCCCCGTCCAATTCAAACGAGCATCGATATTACGACGCCGGCCCGTGCCAAGGTTTGAACCCGTAGCGGTGCCCTCAGACGAAAATCGTAACCGTTAGGCAGAAGTTGGTCTTTAGCCGCTCCATAAGTCCTACCACGAGGTTGGCGTACCATCTGCACTCGCTCCGTATCGTCCGGTGAAGCTGTAAAGGTCAGCTGCGGCCAACAGCATTAGAATAGTCCGAAAAAAAAAAGTGTTTTCCTCAAAATCTGTCAGATGTTACTTTAAATTATGAATACATAAATTCGTCTGCTGCTGTATCATGATGAAATAAACGTCAGTTGAAATTTTCACACCAGAGGAAATGATTGCAAAATTTCGCTTTTCGTTTTAAAGTTGCGACACCTCATCATGAGAATAGATGATACATGTATATCTGCATAATAATATATAATACAAATAAAACATACAACAGGATAATAGACCTGTAATGGACAAGATTTTTTTTTAGTAAGTACGATATAAAAATCTACCGAACCAGAAATTAGAAAAATCGCGTATATAAGTCTGGTCACACTGAACACAGAGTAGATTGTGGCAGGGGCTGATTGCGGTGACAGATTAAAATACCAACAAAATAAACACTGCTTTACTAGTTAGTCATAGATTTAAGTTGTGATACTGATTATTGATATTAGTCATCGCACATCAGATTTTCCTTATCATTTTCATTGATGTCCTATGTATTTTTGTTATTAATGTTAACTGGTTTTATATTTTCTAAAGTTACAATATTTAATTACGTACCTTACTTAAGTAATTTTGTACATCATTGTTTTTTTTGTAAATTATAGCTATAATAACATTTTTGTCATTTATTATTATTATTATACATATATATATATATAAACGACATGAACTTTTTTAAAACAGAACCTACTGTAAAAGGTATGTACATAAACAATAAGAGAAATCTACGTTAATAGTTAATCATTGTTGAATTAAATTTCCCTGCGAATTATGCAATCAAAATATCCAGTTCTGTAAAAAAATAAACAGCTACTCACAATATCCGACAGTCTTGTATGAAATGTGATATTGTATAGTTTATTATAATTAGAAAATTATTAATTCAAAATATAAATAAATCTTTGAATTAAATTTTAAAATATCCATACTTTTTAATTGTTAGCTTGTTAAGTAAATAAGTATATTTTTAATGGATAATAGTGGAATGGTGCACCCTTCTGCGCTGGGGGACACCAGTGGAGGATGTTAGATAAATATGAGATCAGGTCAGTTAGGCCAGCATGACACACTCACTAGGAATTTATCATGATAGTTTCCAGGGAACTGTGTGGAGGTCAACTTTATAGTACATTGCTAGCAATGAGGTCAAGAGTCCTAACAATCACCTTCACCTCATTGAATAAATATTGAAGTAACTATAATTAATTATAACCTACAGAACAACAGAGGCAAAATGACAGAGATTTACGCAAAGCTGGACGGGATTTGGAAAGGGACAAGGCTGCTCTGGAAAGAGAAGAAAAAAAATTGGTTAGTATGATTGTTTTATTATATATTATTAATTTTATTATATGTTATTAATTTTTTTGTGGCAATACTAATTCAAATTATGTTCATAACTATTGTTGCAATTCACTAGTATAGTCTTAAAATGTATGGATAACATAATCTGTCTGCCAGAATATACTTAAACATTCTATAGAAATAAAGTCAATATTGTAAGCATTACTAGCAATATTTAGGTAGATGCATAAAGTTGTCATATTTATACTTATTATATACATATACATAAGTCTATATTTTTTAATTTAACAGTCAAGTATTTGATCTTATTCATGACAATAATCATATGAATGCTTTCAACATCAGATTGTTTATATTGTACATTGCTGACTTTTGTAACAATAATTTCATAGTACTATATGCCTATCATTTGAAACTTCTGCATCAAATTTACACATATTTGTATATTATACTGCTCATTTCAGGAGTTGGAAATAAAAAAAATGGCTAAAGAGGGTAACAATGAAGGCTGTAAAATATTAGCGAAACAATTGGTACAATTAAGAAAGCAAAAAACTAGGATATATGCAGCAAATAGTAAGGTAAATATTAGAAATCCAATAAGATAACTCTAATAAATTATATGATATAAATAGCATTAATACTTGCAGGTCAAATTTATTTTCAATTTTTGAAAACATATTGTTTTGTATAATTTGAATTGCAAACAAGCTGATGGCCCACCTAATGGTAAGTGGTAACTGTCACCCATGTACATGAGCAGTATTATCATGGTACCACTCATGCATTGCCAGTCAGACAGAAGACTAAGATGTTATTATGCCTCTTAACCTGTAATTTTGTTTAACCTTTACCATAGCTTACAAAGCAAATATTAATAGTGGCATAAAAGATTTCATAATATAGTGCATTCAAAATGGCCATTTTTCTACAAACAATTAACAGTAGTTGTATTAAGTGAACAATTAATCTTTCAATAGTTATTGTGAATAATGTAATTTGTACATAAGTTAATGAACTATTTTCTTTCTTGATTAAGAAATTGTTATTTTTTCAAAATTATTAATAAGATCATGTATACTAAATTTAAATATGAATACCTACATATTATAATTAATTAATTAAGTACTATTAATCTGCTAAACCGTTTATATAGTAATGTTGTTTTCAAACAAGTTTGACAAATACAAATCAGTTAAATTGTCCATAATGTATTCATTACAGATATCCAGTGTTCAAATTCAAAACAAAGCAATGGGAGCAAACATAGCTATTGCAAATGCAATGGGTACCACAGCTAAGACAATGGGTAATATGAATAAGGTCATGAATCCACACCAGATAGCGAAGGATATGGAAGCATTCAAACAAGCAAATGCTAAGATGGATATGACAGATGAAATGAGTACGTCAAGATATTTTTTTATAAATATCTATTTTATTTTTATACTCTTTTTTTAAATGTCACTTTTGACTCTTGTTGTGAGCCCTTTATTATATACTAGCTGTCCCGGCAAACATTGTTTTGCCTTAAAATAAAAAAAAAAATTAGTGGTGGACTATTCCTAAGATTTAGGGGGATGAAAAATAGATGTTGGCCGATTCTCAGACCTACTCAATACGCTCACAAAAATTCATGAGAATCGGTCAAGCCGTGTCTGAGGAGTATGGGAACGAAAACTGTGACACAAGAATTTTATATATAAGATATACATTAATTTTTTAATTTTTTCTCTTTATATTCTCAGAAAACAAATGAGTTTGGGCAACACCTAATGCAATCCCACTATGTATTGGTCACTGAATAACAATTTTTTGGATAACAATACTGCAATGTACTAAGTCAATAATTGAATTCAATATTAGATTTATTATATTTCTTTGTTTTTAGTTTCAGATACACTTGATGATATCATGGCCGAGTCCGGTGATGAAGAAGAAACTGAGGGTGTTGTTAATAAGGTGCTTGATGAGATTGGAATTGAAATTAGTGGAAAGGTAAGCCAAAAGTTAAGAATTTTTTAAATTGGCTCATTAGTTCGAAGCCTATTCAATGCAAACAAACTATAAAATATTTAATTATAATATGAGTATAATATTTATTATTTTTTTTATTTATAAGTGTAAATTAATTGACTGGTTTCAATTTAATAAAGAAATTCTATATTATTTTCAGATGGCCAATGCTCCTTCAGTCGCTAGAGGAAAAATTGGTGCTTCAACCACTGATGAAGATAAGGAACTAATGGCGCAATTAGAGCGCCTAAAATCATAGTGCCTTCAAATATTTAATGCCTAACATTTAATTATTACGAAATCGTACCATTTATTGTATATTTATACACTGCCTTGTTAAAAAAAACTAAAACGAAATGTTTAGTATTTAACTGTTTTGTCACTTTCTTTTACATAAAGCAAAAGAAGTAAAGGACAAAACAGTTTATTTTTTGTAAAGAAAGTTGACACGACATTTTATTTTTTATATGAGGCGGTTATTCTATAAGATTTGTTGTTATACGTTGTTAAAAATCGTGACTTGTTTACTTTTGTGATAAATATACCTACAGTAAGTGTAAGTAATAAATCAAAACACATTTGTAATGTCATTCATATAATGAATTTAATATATATGTACGAAATGTATTGACCGTATATCAATATTTGTTTAACCGAAATAAAAAGTAAAATCCACGGAAGCGAAGAGTATATTTTAATTAAAGTAAAATATGTATAAATGCGTGAGTAACTCCTATATAGCAGTTATAAAATATTTATCGGATTGAATTAGGGTTGTTCACAAAAATAACGCGTATGTCGTAATATATTATACTACAAAAATGCAGAATGGATCTCGATGTGACTATATATCTTGTAGTATATTACGGCTTACTTAGTAATGTTACGTTTTCAAACATTCTTTGTATTATTTTCGGACCTCAAGATCATATTATTGGTGGATCTTCTGTCATTTATATTTTTTCATATTGACCGGGATTTTGAGGGGATACCAACTAATTAAGACTACAACACAAATAGAACATAAATTATCATCATCATTATTATAAGTAAAAATAAAATCAACTTATAATTAAATATAAAAGAATTATAAAATATTTCAATAAAGAAATGAAATAAACATTTGATGATGATGATGATAATGATGATGACATCTATAACGCTAATTATTTGAGTGTATGGTATGATTCTGCCAAACTCTAATTTTTGCCTAGAACAGATCAAAATAATATGTAAGTACTAACCGAAATAATCTGATTTTGTAATTTTTTTTATATCACATTTGCTGGCGATTCAATTTATGATCGTATATTAGCTGATCAGGATCAAAATATGTGATTTGCAATAGGAATAAACACTACTATAATATGTTTAAATTGGACCAAAAACTACTCAATATAATTTGGTACGATTTAAATATCACCTAATTTAGTACATATAGTATTTTTATAGTTTATCCTAGACGAAAATCGTGCTTCGTACACACTAGCTGACCTACGTCAATTTCGTCTGCTTCACATTTTCTTCGTTTTTACAACATTTTTCATTGGAGATGCGTTGTCATAGTTTGATGTTATCCAGCTATTGGCTATTATTGGCCTTTCTTGTTTAATGGGCTATCCAACACGAAAAATTATTTACAAAATCAGACGGTAGTATCGTAGGTTACCCCAACACATCCAAACTCACAAGCTTTACCTCTTATAGATAAAAAGATAATCTAATGAAATCAACTAATAATAATATGACTAAAAATAAAATAAACTAAATCTATCATCCATCTACATTGCTAAACAATGGAGAAACCCAGTGCCTGCTACGAATATATTGTAATATTAATATAAATAATTTTTGTATACATGTATATTTATTACAATTGAAAGTATTACTGTAAATGATAAAATATAAAACGTCCATTTAATTTTTAAATTTTTAATTTATTGTACAAAAATAAATTTTTGCTTCCTAATCCAGTATTTTTTTTATAAATTCACCTATGAAATATAAATTATGCTTTTCTTTGTACAGAGACCTATGTAAATATATTAGAATTTATAAATATATTAAGTAACAGGGTATAAATATAATAACGAAAGGAGCATGTGGTGCAAAACGGGCAGAAATTTTATTACTACTTTCGGAGATTTCGAACTGAATACCTACATACAGTGGTGGTCATATAATTAGAAACACTTCTTATGAATAAAGACAGTATAACTTAAACGTACAAATTATCATAATATACACATTCAATAATTAATAATCATGCAATAATATAGCCACTCAAATTAAAAACTCATTAAATGGATAAAATATAAACCATATTTTACTTTCAATTACAAAATGAGTCTTAAACATGTAGGAGTTTATTTACAGTTACTTGCCACTTGGACGCCTTATTAGAAACATTTTAAAAAAGCATCCATAATCGTTCTTGTTTTTAAATTGAAGAATAATATTTTTTCTTGCCTTTTTCTATTATTTCGGCGGTAATTCAAAATTTAATATGAATTCTACTTTGTTCAAAATGGGCAAAAATAAAAATTGTGACGCGTCAACTAGAGAAATAATTGTAAATTCACATGTAGATCATAAATGGGCATACAGGAGAATAAATGAGCATTTACATTGTTCTATTAAGAATGTTTTTAATGCAATTCATCATTAGAAAACATATGGAAATGATGAAACAGTTGAAAATGGTCTTAGAAAGGCTCGGCCAAGAAAATCCTCTCCGAAAGAGGATAAGTTAATCGTTCGTGTTACTAAAAAAGACTCATTTAAAGGCTCCAACCAGATTAAAAATGAGTTTTTTTGTCTGATGACCCGAGAAACATCTCATCAAGACTGATACGCCAAAGATTAGTGGAAGCTAAATTGTTTGGATGAACCTCTCGAAAGGTACCGCTTTTTACCAAGCAACACCGAGAGAAGCATTTATTATTTGCTAAAGAATGTAGTAATTGGACAGTACGAGAATGAAAAAAAAGTGTTTTTTTTTCAGATGAAACAAAAATAAATATGGTAAATTCCGATGAAAGCGCTATATTAGACGTTCTTTAAACAATGCTTTTAATTATAAATACACAAGGAGTATAGTCAAGCGCGGTGGCGCTAACATTATAGTTTGGGGATGTTTTTCCGGATGTGAAGTGGAGGAGACCTTCAATCTTCCAAATGGGATCACATTTGGAAGATTGAAGGTACAATGAATCAATGTCAGTACAAAAATATGTTAGAGCACACTATGATTCTCTACTTGGACGATCGTTTGCCTGTAAACTAGATCTTTCAGCATGACACTGACCTGACCCTAAAACACGGTCAATAGCGCCAAATATTTTCTTACCGAACCGCGTACATCTGTTTTAACTGGCCATAAAATAGTCAGAATTTAAACCCTATAGAAAATCTTTGGTATATTGTTAAAAAGACAGTCTTAAACAAACGTAACACAAGTCAAAACTATATGAATCATTTGTTAAAGCATGGAATTCAATCCCCCTAGAAAAATGTATGACATAGATTGAATCTATGCCATGTCGTTGCTATTATTAAAAACTAGTTGAAAACCCGGCTTCGCTCCGGTGAAATGTGGGTAGATATTTCTGCAGTCATCGGTCCTCATGTAATATTAAAAGTAAGCAAGGCATAGATTTGTAAAGCTTCGTTCATTGTGTTTAATAAATATAGTAAATAAAAAGTGCAAAAGGTTTTATACAAATAATTTTTATTTTTTTGTAAAACTTTAAGTTGAGCTAAAAAGAACTTGTATCCAGAGCCGTGAAACAAATTAATAATAAAAAATTGCCGAATTTGTCTCGCAATCGGCCAATTTCAGGTTTAAAAAAAAACACATACTCTTTTATCATAAACAAGTGTCAAAAACAATATTTTCGCGAAACGTCAACGACCGAAGAAAATGCTAGTGAAATGAAAAGATGGCGACTGCAGTTTGTTTGTCAGTGTCAGTAGAATTTAACGAAATACTCCATAATCCGAATTTTGCGGATATATATTGTCGACTCGAAATCAATATTTTTTTATGTCTTGTTGTTCACATAAGATTTCGTTCGAATCTACCGTCCCGCTTGACGAAATTATTAATATAGATAGAAGATAAGGGATATGCCACTTAATATTAATTATAACTATTGGTAGGCTGTAGGTAGTAGCTATTTCGTAAATAACAATACAAATTACTAATACTTAAAAAAATATAGTTTTTTATAATTTTTGTTGTTGTTTCTAATTAGTTGACCATTATTGCTCATACCTTAGAACTGTGGGCTAATTATGTAACACGATATGAAATTGTTTCTGTTGAAGTTGTGATGCAATATGAAATCATTTCGGTAAGGTCGAATGTAATCATTTCTATCGATAAAAAACTATACCGGAATATTGTTAATTTTAAAAATCACATTAGATAGCTTATCCTTTAGAGGGATACATTTTAATTTATTGGGTTGTTACACTAGTTGGTTGATTTGAAACAATTTTTATTGCGTTCAAAAATTACAAAATATACTGCAGCGTTCATTTGTTCTTTTATTTTAATTTTATTAATAGACATTTAATAAAATAAAAAAAAGAAAGTCTATTCTATTCTAATGAAAAAATAAGGTTAATAATTTTGAATATAAAAGCCTATTTATAATCATTAATAAATATCTAACCTACAAATTAAATTTTCTTTTCCTATATCTCTTAAAATGATTGCACATCTTTTTAAATTTTTATAATAAACATTATAAGTTTTTATTTACTTTAAACAAATCACAGAGCATCATAAACGTTGTATTCCGTTCACAGAGCACCGTATTCATTGAAATAGTTTTTTAATTATATTAATATCATAATCAACCCTAATTTTATATTAAACATTTACTCTAGTTAATACAACATTCTATGGGACGAAAATAAAATATCGAATTGGCAACACTGATGTCGTGTTGTGAGTTGTGACAATTTTCCCATTTTAATAAAAATAAAACCTTTTCACGACTTTCTACGTAATATTTAATATAATAAAAATATATGTAATACTGAAAATTACCAAAACAAGATAAATAATGCTGCTAATGCTGATATTTTAAAGATTGTAACCAAAAGAAACACCTTCTAAATTGTTTCTCATAATGTAAAAACGTTTCAATTCACGCTGTCATTTCGGCAAAATAGCGATTACGTGACGTTGCAATTAAATCGACATTCGATAGAAATAATTTTTATCGATATGTAAAGTTGCGTTTACGTTTTATTTGACAGCGTCAAATGGCGTCTATATGATCGCATTATTGACAGATGACGTCATTTTCACTACGTTACATACGAAAATCGTTGCGAACGAAGTTACATAATTAGCCCACTGAACCTTACCTTAAATCGTTGCCGGTAATGTAACATTCAAACTATACCTATGTAGTGGAATTTATATTGTTTTTATAATAAATTATAAATTGTTGAACACATTGTTGTCTTATTTATTGTTTAATTTCAAAATAAAAATGATTGCGGTGAAGTATCTCACATAATGTCAAGGACCGTCGGTATTGTTTCTTATTATGCGTCTACCACTGTATATGTAGGTATTTATAATGATATATTATTACAACAATTCATGAATTTAAAAAGCATTAATACGCAGCATAATATTGAGCGCTCTATAAATTTATAAAGTCGAGGACTACCTATGTAGTGGTAAGTAAAAGCTACTTAAACTTCTTAGTTAAGTATTGTGGGCGTGTTTAAGGTTAGCGCGTGACATTGAAATGCGAAAAGCGACTTCGTCGTTTGCTTTAAAATTTAATGAAATTTACACTTCTTGTTTACCCGTAGGTGCGATAATGTCCCGCATATTTAATAAGCCTCCATTAATTCGAAGCTGCGGCATTACGTTCACGTACTTTCCGCTATTAGCGCGTTAAAATGATGATCCCCGATCATCTATTCGATGAAGGAATTAGCAATACAATGTTGCAAAATGACATGAACATTCAAAAGAACATTAACAAGGCAATGTACGAGAAAACACAAAGGGACTACGTAAGTTTTCAAGACAAACAAGTCGCAAAGTTACTGTATATAATTATCTGCCTAAAATTATAGATAAATTGTACGTGTTGCTTGAAGACAATTCATTTTTCAAAATCTAAACTATCTCCTTTCACCACCCTTATCAATAACAACCCCTGAATATAAACTACAACTTTAAGAGCACAAGAAAAGATAAGAACGAGAAGTCCAGTTTTGCTTAAGTATTTCGGGAATTGAAATACTTAGGTACGTGTACACCCCAAACTATGCAAAGTAACACCAAACCTTTGCTCAGGAGCAAGAAACATCTCAGGAACGTCCCAACGTGTTTAGTGACCACTCTAGAGAGTATTATTTATTAAAAACAATTATATGAAATATTACATTCAGTCATTTTCTTCTTAAAAAAAAATATTGAAGCGTCTTTTGCCTGCCAGTTTTTATTTTCAATTACATATTTTTCTTCTAAATTTAAGTAGCCGCATGTTTTTATTGGCTGTTTGCTTTTGGAAGGAAGTATCTATGCGGAATAGCTACAAAAGTAATCCTTATTTTGGGAATGTATGATGATTTTATGCAATATTAAATTATATTTATAAATAAATGCTAATATCTATTGATCATCATCGATGATGATGATGATTGATATTAGCGTTTATTTATCTACTTCTTCTTTATGGCCTTTATTTGGGGGCGTAATATTTTTGCTATGCTAATTTGTTATAATAATAATTTTGTAAAAAAAAACGAGGAAACATTATGAAAAATATAATACATTAAATTAACTCTACCAGGAACAAGAACAGCGGGATCAACTTTCGTCTCAAGATGGAGACACATGTGAAATCCACGATCAATTTTATCGAGACCATAAATTGTTGCTGGTTCTGTTCCGCGCACTCGCTGTTATGCCCATCATCAGATCAGGACCAGGTACATAATTTAATATACACTACTGTGATACATGACTTTTATTTACAATTGTAACAAGCCAATACTTGGATAATTTTAATTCCTTGTCGCTATTCATTCCGTTGGTCAAGAGATCAATCTTACAAAAACTAGTTTTTTCCATTTCCAGTTTATCTATAGTTCACCTTAAAATATAGTTTATCCTTTACTGCTTAGTAAAATAATGTTTATCAGCTTTTATAATCAATATTAACTTCAATGTTTATATATAAATAGATATTATTGTCATTATTATAGGTATACAAAAATCGTAACCAATTTACCAAAATATTTTATCATAGCGGTTTTTGTATACCTACCTATAATAATGCCAGATACATCAGCTCAGTATCTTAGAGATCTGTCGCTAGAAATTATAGATCACGGCTCCCTAAAATATGGGTATATATCATTAGTATCAGCATATAGTTATTACATCAGGTAATAACTATAATATGCTAACTGCATTTCCTTCTATGCAACGATATTTAAGGGTATCTATATTATTATATTTTTAGGTACTGTCACCTTCAGTTGGAAGTCAAGTGCTATGGCTTACGCTATCTGCTTTTACGTAATAGCGACTATTGTTGTTTTGATTGTGGGCTACGAGCGTATCCTAATATTACACGCCATCCGAAAGTTCGACGACTACATCTACGCCATTCTTTTTGTCACATTCTTGGTACCGCATTTCTGGATTCCATTTGTTGGTTGGGGAGTGGCGCATCAGGTTGCTATTTATAAAACAAGCTGGGCAAAGTTTCAAGTAAGTTTCTTAAATGCCACAGCAGGTAAGATACCAGTGACTTGTGCCAGTTAAATACTATTGGCACTGTTATAAAAGTACAATTAGTACATAAAATATGCACATATTTTATGTACTAATTGTATTTTACTAGGGGCACCCCTAGTGAGAAAGGAATTAATACAAAATTGCTACTTTTCAGAGGAGCCGAAAAATATATTTTTTGTAATTATTTATTTATATATGAACCACGGACAATTTGTCAATATGTGATGCGCATTGTACCATTCATGCGCATCCGTTTGAGAACAATACCACGTCGTACTTGTAATTTCACTGCCTTATCTCACCCTTAAACTGGAACAATTTTCAAATCTAGCTGCTTGAAATAGGACACACAGGCGACTTTGTTCGAGGTCTACCTAGGTTGATGGTGGCATACACTCAATTTGTCCAGTTTTAGTCACGCATATTCAAATCCATTGTGGCCTTGGCTGAACTCACCCACTTAATCCTGTTTGTTGAGAGGAGCGCATTGTTAGTACCTAAAGGGGCTATTAGCCATATCACAAACAGGCTGTCGCAGTTAAATCCAGTTAAATTCGCTACAAAGGGCACTGTTGTGTGGCTAAGGCTACTGGTGTTGTGTGTACAGACGGGATTATCATTTCATCACAATCTGTAAAAAATATTTTAAGCCTATTACCAAAATATTTTCAGAAATGGAATTGAATTTGGAATTTGTAAATTTGTAATGCATACTTAGAAAACATTCAGACCGAACAAACAATCATAGCTACTTGTGAATACAAATGTTTGTAAAGTGAGAGGAATTGCACCCGCGACCATCAGAATTAAGGTGATGTGTGATAAACCACTAAACCTGCGAGGCCGTCAAGATCTAATGACCTTATTTTTTCAGGTCAGATACTATAGAGTGACTGGAGAGAACCTCCAATTTCCCAATCTGAAGACGTCAATTGTCATTATAAGTATTGGTTGTTTACTTCTCGCTATATGCTTTCTGCTTAGTCTGTGTGCATTATTAGATGGATTTTTACTAAAGCATACAGCGGCGTATTATCACATCATAATTATGATAAACATGAACTGTGCACTATGGTACATCAACTCCAAGGCTATTAAAATTGCTTCGCAAAGTCTCTCTGACTGTTTTCTCAGGGTAATTTTATATATAACTAAAACATTTTTATTACTCATATTTTTTATTCTTCGTAAAGATACCTGTAAAACTTTTCTACATACTTTAAACTTGTACTTGCTTAGATGCGCATGTAAATTTTCCTTTACATTTTATTACCTACTTGTACAATTTTTAAACTTCTCATTTAGTTTAGTTATTAGTACCTATGTATATATGTCCGAAAACCAGTCTTCACTATTTGTTTATAATTAAATATGCATTATTTACTACCATTTTTAGTGTCTGATTCAGGATCACACGCAGAAGCTTAATAAAAAGACAAAGATTTTAATCCTTTTGTAATATATTTATTTATTTAACAGTTTCCTGTTTGCAGGACGTAGGAGTAGAGTGTTCAGCTAAAATGATATCGCGCTACCGTTTCCTGTGGTTGAATCTTTCTGAATTGCTTCAAACGCTTGGTAATGCTTACGCACGCACTTATTCTACCTATTGTCTTTTCATGTAAGTTTTGCAATTCCTAATATTTTATTAATTTTTATTTTATTACTTCAGAGGTTAATAGTTTGTTTAACAACAATAATGTTTTAAAAATGAACAATATTTTTTGTAATCCTTTCTAATGTTGTAAGTACCTATATGTGAAATATACTATAAAAATTACAACGGAGAAAAGTACCTCGTAGGTACGTAAATAAGAATAGTAATAATCATTCCTATTCTTATTTGCACGAACAATTATCGAAATTAAATATTTGGATCTAACAGGATGACCTGTTAATTATATAGATAGATATAATTAGTGATAAATATTTATGTTTATTACGTCCGCCGCCTACCATTTTCTTTCTTATCTTTACTTTCTCTACCCAAAGGTAGTCTAGAAGAAATTGCTCAGCAACAGCTTTTTGTGTTGTAGTTCATGTTTATTTACTATTTTTATTATTTTCTATGTTTGGTGCAATAAAAAGCCTAAATAAAAATAGACAAAACATATGAATGTCATCAAATCATCAAAAGTATTTAACAATATAAAGTTTTAGTAGCATCTCAATACAATTAAACAATAATTATACTGCAGGTTTACAAATATCACTATTGCGATATATGGCGCCTTATCTGAGATAGTAGATCACGGATTTGGATTCAGTTTCAAGGAAATGGGTTTATTCGTTGTCGCCGCTTATTGTTCTATTTTACTATTCATATTTGTGGATTGTTCACACAAGTCTACACTAAAGGTAATTTGTATTTTTTTAATGGATGACAATAAAATGGTTCACATGTTTACAATAAAGGTGTATGCTGGCGGTGAACTAGTGGAAAATGATAAGAGTAGCATGAGGTCAGGTCAATTAGCAGATTGTGATAAATGCATCTGAAATTAACCATAGACAGGGCGGTGTCGGTCTACATATATAGAATGTAGCATTTGATTCATTAAGAGATATCTAAGTAATTATACATATCTATTCATCATGGTATAGTCAAATATTTTTTTTTGTTACTGGTTACATATATACGTACATTTACATTTCTAATTCGTTTGAATAGGACACAGGAATTTTCTTTTGTATTTTATGTAGGTATCTTCAGACAATTCCTGTAACTATTTTGCAATAAGAAATTTTTGGCCAACTTTTCACAGGTAGCTGCAGGTGTTCAGGAGACACTTCTATCTATAGATGTACTGTCTGTAGATAGACCTGCGCAAAAAGAGGTAAGGTAAACTTCTTTTTAAACTAAAGTAATATTATGTGTCTAACAAACTATATAGGTATCTATTATTATGTAATATGCATGCAGCATATTATTACGTACACAAGTTAAATAGGTTATAATAATAAACAAAAAGATTAGATGCGTGATCATAAGCTTTATTTTAGCAGGAATGTTTAAAATAACTCTTAGTTAATTTGTGATTGCTATTGCCGTCTTTTACATCTATGAATAGGTATAAAAGAACAGGGAACATTTATATGTCATCAAAAAGAATGTAAAAGCTAATTATCCTCTGTATTATAACGTATGTGTCTGGATGTTTATACAATTACAGTTGGTGGCATTCCCACAGATAACAGAATACGACAAAGCTACGAATATAGTAATATATGAGAAATATTTTTTAGTATATTTTCAGATGGATTATGTAATGTCAAACTAATACTGTAACTATAAAACTAAAACAAAAATATAACTTCACCAATTTTATCTGAGATGATCTGGGATAAACTTACAATTAAATAACGAAATACTTCCGACTATCCAGTTCAGTCAGAAATATTTCTTTCCTTAAGTGTAAGTGTATTGTTGTCTATAGAAACCCAACTAAAATAAAATCGGTCTAATAAAGATTTATTATAGGGGTCAATAAGGTAATTGTATATATACAAAATGAAAATGAAATGATGCAACACATTTTAAATTTATTTTAAATATATATAAAATTGCTTGTCATTATTCACTGTTTGTTTCGAAAGCACTCGCTCCGCGCGCTCACCCACGGTTTGTTTGCTGCTCCCCTCTACGTAGCTACTTGGCTACGCCCTTGCAATAAATGTAATGATAATTGGAATGTAATAATAATTATTTTAATATAAAGTCTTTTTACCGTAGATCGACCATTTCATTCAAGCAATTGAGATGAATCCAGCTGTCGTTAGTCTGAAAGGATATACTGACGTGAACAGAGAACTACTTACATCTGTTAGTATCGATTAGTTGAAAAAGTAGTATGTAGTTTTGTGTTTGTTATATTTGTTAAAAAAATCACAGGGCTCATTGATTTTGTAAATATCTGGGTATAGCGTGTTATTATAAATTTTATACGGGTACGTCTGTCTCTAATATTTCTGCCGCAAAGTACCTTGCTTTATAAACTGCGTATCAGTTGTAGAATATAGGTTAGGCTGTGAAATTACAGGATAGGAGACATGACATTTTCATTCTCACGAGTATCGCATGATAGCATGATGTCGGTGATGCTGTTCGGTAACGGTTACCATCAGGTTGTCAGCTTATTTGCTCTTCCAATTACATAAAAAAACCTATTTCTCTAAGCAGCTTGCTTTGTAATCATATATGAGTAAGTACTATGTATAGGCGAGAGGTTGCTATTTTTTATCAAGTAGACAGTCGGCTTGTTTGTGAATCTACTTACATAAAAAATTTTATTTAACTTTAATTATTTCTTTAAAAATCGTTTCCTAATTACGTGATATGTCAGTAATTGTACTATTTACGTTGTCAGAACTGTGGGTGGCTATTATATTATGCAAAGAGGAGTATTCATAATGCTTTTAAGAATTTTCTGTTTAAGCCAGTTATTGTTTATTTAATTTATATATCATAAAACGATGTATGTTTGTTTGTATGAGTTGAGAAACTGGCTGTAGGTAGACTGTTTGTAAAAAATGTAGATACTTACTTTTTACAAACAGTATCTACAACTAGTTTTTCAAGCTAAAGGTAAATAGATTATAGAAACAATAGACTTGTTAGAATTTCAACTTACTAAAGGTTTTATAATATTATTTCTTTCAAAGCCATCTATTGTCAAGTAATGTAGAAATGAATAGCACTGTCGACGACAATATACGACGCTACAATTGAACATTATGTCCAAGCCGGAAAAAAGCAATATTAGAATAAAATAAAACAGCATTGGAAGGATGATACGTAATAGAATATATTTCTTTTTCAGGCAGTCAATACGATAACCATATATTTAATAGTCTTACTGCAGTTCAAGATTTCGTTACCAAAGGATCCCCAAGCGTGATATGTAAAGCAAAATATTATAATTTAAATTAACCATCTCGGTTTATTATTTCAATTGTTAATATTATTATATATTATCGATTTGTAATAAAAACCCTAATTTCTTATACAGATTTTTGTTTTATTTGTTTTAGAATTTTCAGTGTTCACCTTTCACTGGCGTTAGTGATGATCGAAATCATAGTCTATATTTATTACACAAACTTATTAAAAACGGAACACATTTCGCAAGAACAATATTTTGGATGTCTGGTGTACTTTCTGGTTTGTAAAAAACTGAATTCAATTTTATTTTTGTAGTGACGAAATTTTATTTAACGGTTTCTGGTTGAGTTTATGATGATAATTAATTTGGGTAATGTTTGCGTAGACAAGTGATGTATTAGTAGTTCTCTCAGTTGAACTTAGTTCAATATATGTATATTATATATATAAATATGATAACAAATACATTAGGAAAGCCCGCTTCACTTAATTTTTAATCGAATATCCATTAAAAACGACATAGATCCGAGTCGTGACGATCAGTGTCGATCTGTCAGCCGCATTACTCCGACGATTTTCTGACACAATAATGGGGATTCATTAATCAACTTTTTCAATTACCAACAAATCCAAACCTCAAATATCATCGAGTTTGGTGACATCAAACGCCTCCACTTAGAAAGTATAAGAGTTCTTTTTTAGGGCTCCGCAGACAATAACATGAGACCCAACCCTTATCATGCGCCTCGATAGGAACGGATAAACTATATCCGCCGACTCTACATTCACATCGACTGCTGTATTCTCAATTACTTACAACAATACATTGACGTCACGCTTAGTACAGTCAAACATAATAAATATAATAAACCCATATTATCTACGCCTAAGGTAATCTGTAATTTGATTATAAAGTCAGATAGTAAATTATGAATTAAGTTACATTCAATTTTAATTAGTAGCTTGTTTCAGTTTAAGAATTAGTGTAAATTAATTACATTTTACAAAGTATGTTATTTAGCACTAAGATATTAAATTTAATTTCATATTCTAAGCAAAAAAAAAACATATTGCATTTTATGTAGTATTAGTGACACAGATAATATGTAAATAAATAATCTCAGAACAATTGACACAGCGCCATCTAGACTCAAGTTAACCTAGCTAAAGGTTGTGTTATGGGTACTAGATAACTGATAGGAATACATACATAGATTTTTTTCGTAAATATATACATAGAAAACACCCTGATCGATAATCATAATCGAAGACGTGACCGTCGGAAGTAAGGCGGTGTGCTAAACCGCCTTACTTCCGACGTCCGAGACGTCCGCCTTAAACCGAGTCCGTCGTAAAGGCTTAAATAATAACAGAAAACGTAATCAATATTTATTCTAGGCTAAAAAGTATCCTATTAGACTTAATAGGTAAGTACTAGCTTCATTATTTATGAATATAAAAGTGTTAAGTATTTTAGTGTGTTTTTCTATTTATATATGTATAATCCTTACTAATATTATAAATGCGAAAGTAACTCTGTCTGTCTGTCTGTCTGTCTGTCTCGCTTTCACGCCAAAACTACTGAACTGATTTAAATGAAATTTGGTACCCATATAGTCTAGACGCCGAGGAAGGACATAGGCTACTTTTTAATGCGAAAAAAGGGTTGTAAGGGGTTGAAAATGGTAATGCAAGGTTATCTTTATGCGGTTGAATACACACTTATTATAATAATGGCTTAACTAAAAAATTAGATATTTTGGAAAGTCTACTTTATAATTGTGTTATTAAGTCTATTTTCAAAAATTTTTAATTTCTGAATTACACCAGTATTGTACTAGATATGCGACTTATTAACGCTCATATGTCATAAATAAACATATGTCATTTGTATAAGCAGCGTTGCGCGCGCAACTGATTATTGTCAATCCGTTGTCTCCTTATGAATTTAAATAAATAAACGTTAGCTCTGCAATTTTATTTTATAAATACATAAATATAATCCTGGTATAGCCTATATCTGATGACCCTGCTCTTGGACAAGAGCGTAAGAACATATTATTAATATTTTTGAAGAATAAAACAACATATAATATTAAAAATGTTGTCAATACATATGAACAACATTTCCTTGGAAGAAACAACATCTACCGTTCCATCCGAGCTATTCAGGTTCGGAATACGCGTTTCTCCATTCTGGCCAGTAGAGTCAGAGATATGCTTCGCGCAAGTAGAGGGATAGTTTGCAATTTAAAATATCACATCTATTATTTTGATTTAACAAAATTTTATTATGTTATTGGCCAACTGGACCACCAATTTTCAAAAGAATTTAAAGAAATGTTTAAACTGTTTATTAAATATAAATAAATATGACATTTAAATTTGTAAATATCACATTGTCACCATCCAAGGGGTAAAATAAAATAGCAGATAAAAGTTTTTATGGAAATTCGTCACATAATAAGCTAGAACGATGAAGCTTTTTTCTTACGCTTTTTTGGGTCAGTTTATTTAATAAATACCTTACTAATATTATGAAAGTGAAAGTGACTCTGTCTGTCTGTCTTAAAAGCCAAAACTTCTGAACTGATTTAAATGAAATTTAAAGTCTAGATCTTGAGATAGGACATAGGTTACTTTTTAATGCTAAAAAGGGTTATAAGAGACTGAAAGAGGAATTTTTTAAAAGTTTAAGCTTCAATCTTATTTTATTGCGTATTGATTAAATATAATTAACGAAAATGGGTTGTAAGGGTCAAAAGGGGAGTTAAAATGTTGTATGCATGTATTGTCATTTTTTAAAGCTAGAAACTTGAAACCCATTTTTTAGGCTGTTGAGAAAATATCAGTACCTACCGCCACAGGACTCAGCCATAAATGGTTACAGTATAGCGACATCTTATCATTGGTACATGATGACACTAATATAAGTAGCATTAAAAAAAACAAGAAAAAGGGTTATAAGGGGTTGAAAGGGGAGATGTAATGTATGTATGGTATGTATGGAAGTATCTTCATTTTAAAGATAGTAGTTTGAAACTTAGTTTTTGGCTGTTGATTGAATTGTATGGAATTATGTATGGAAATTTCATTTTTGAAGCTAGAACGATGAAACTTTTTTATTGGGTTAGATTATTAATATATATTTTTTATTATTTGCTCAAGGTCACTATTTTACGCGGACGAAGTCGCGGGTACAGCTAGTGTAATATATTTGTAAGTGTTACAACATTTCAATTCGTCACTATACAGCGTAAAGATATTAATGAAATGTTATAAATCGTGGCTCACATAACTTCATATCACCTCATTACTGTGATTCTTTAAGTACTAGATATTGAAATACATGTCCTTATGTGGTATGTTCAGATATAAGAAGAATGACAAATATAAGTTACCTACTTTAATACATAAGCTATATTGTTAGTACATCTTTGTTATTGCATATTTGAATCTGATATTAAAACAATGCACGTTAATTTTGTACAATATATTACCTTCAATCAACTCTACAAAAATACCAATCTTGCGTGAATACAAAAACCAATTCAAGATTCCAATACTCAGAAAAGCAAACAGACTATGAGGAAAATGGGTCACCTATATTTCTTTTAAGTCTTATGGGAACTGTCAAAATGAACTCGTTTTTTAGGAAAAAGCACACCCTTCCATTTGTTATTAAAATCTGCATAATGTTGAGCTGAATTTTCCATAGTTGGAAAGGACATGCGCTCTTAATTTTCTAAATAATAAAGTTTGTGATGTATTAAGTACTTACAATATAACGAGATTATTGTAATCATAATATTACACTAGACTATAGAATAGAATATAAATGAAAAATCATAAAATTAGTTTAGTACTTTTCATTTTTCATTTTTGTCATGCCCCTATGAAGTATAAAGTCGAAATGTATATTTTATATAGTTTCCCCATACAAACATTAAATTAAATCTACCTTAGTGATTGAATTTCGATAAATCATTTGTTATTGCTACTCTTAAAAACACTACGACTACTGTGAAGAATACAGTTTTCAAGGTATGAGAGAGTTGGCTGAACGTTGATGAGTCAGTGACTTACTTAGTAGCCTTCTTTTTTTATATAATTTTGATATATTTGAGTGGATTACTCTATTTCTAACGCAGGATCGCAATCATAGCGTTATTGTGTTTTCAATTAGAAAGCTAAGACAAATTGTGCATAAACTGACAATGTAAACTCACTTACCTAAGATTGCAAATATACCTACTTATATTCTAGATACAATTTGTAATATTACTATATTCATTTTTATAATAAAATTACTTAAATAAGTTAAACTAAAATGAGCTATTTATTTCTCACTTCAAAATAACTAAGTCTCCAGCATTTACAACGTGGCTACGAAATGAAAAATAGAATCTTAATTTATTACAACTCTTGCAGCTGTAATAAGAAAAACCACTGGTGGGATAAACAGTATTATATTATTTGAAATTAATTATTGTATCCAGTTAATCTACATATATTTAAATGCCAACGTTAATTAGAAAAGATAAATATTATAAAGAAGAAAAAAAATATTTCCGAATTTATTTATTTTCGTCGTTTATGCGACGAGAATTTCATTACGGAAGCCGTATTATATAGATTAACTATAAAACTTACTTATATAACTATAGGCTTTGATGGTTAGATTATCTGATTGATTGATATGGTAATTTACTTGCAATTTAAAAATTAGAATTTTAAATAAAAGAAGAATTTTGGCCTGCCTCATTTTTCAATTAATTAAATATAGTGCCAATGTTGGTACATAGCTATTAATCAAAAGTAAAGTAAATACCTACATATTCAAATTGGTCAAGAGCTAGTACTGACGGAGTACACTATTGCGTGACATCATCCGGTAGCATATCGCAATCTGAATGTTGTTCAATTTGTACTGCCTACCGCACCGCAATCGACGTCAAGTGAGAATTATTAACTCTGAAGAGCACTCTAGATAATGGAATTGCCACAAAACGTATGCACTAAAGCGATGAACCAATGGTTTTTATTAACATAGGTACCCACTATAGATAGAGGACACGCAAAATCCGTTCCGTGATTGTTCGC